TGGGCTCGACTGTGGGCTCGACTGTGGGCTCGACTGTGGGCTCGACTGTGGGCTCGACTGTGGGCTCGACTGTGGGCTCGACTGTGGGCTCCGTGCTGGTAGGAGCGTCTGCAGCCTTGACCGGCTCCGGCTCTCGTTGCTCAGCCTCGGGGATTCGCTCGGACAACGCTGACGCAAATTGGGCCTCAATGGATTCGGCAGAGACATTGGTTGGTACTTCCAATGCGGGCTCTGTCTCCGCGATGGCCCTTTCTGCCTCTGGTTCTTTGATCTCTGCAGAGGCGTCTTCGACTAGTCTCGCTTCAGACACGGAGGCGCCCACTTCTTCGGGAACTGTTCCGGTGGATTCATCGGCAGATTTGTTCGTGTCATCCGGAGTAGGCTCGGCATTACCCACAGTAGCATTTTCCATGACTGCCTCCGTCCCCTCCTGTCTAGCCTCGGATAGGGCATTTTCAGGTAAAACTGGCGTCGATTCGTTGACCTGAGGCTCTTCGGATTGAACCGTGATTTCCTTGTCAGCAACGCTGATACCGTCTGATGCTACCGGCTCTGAGCTGGCTGGAACAATATCCTCGAGGATCTCCGGCTTCCCTTTTTCTTTGGGCTCAACGTCGGGTTCTACCGGCGTTGCAGCAATTTCGTCCAGGGCTCTGCTACCATGTCCAGGTACTGAATCACCACCTTCTGCTGCCGCCTGAGCACCGACTTGTTCTTCGTGCTTCTCGGTGTCGCCAGACGTCTCTTCCGCATTCTCCGCGATGAAAGGAATGTCCGCGTCTGTCTCTCCTTGATCAAGCTCACAAACGGCAGGCGCCGGGGCGGCATTATCAGGCACATTTCCAGATTCCGTGCTATCGATCGTTGGAGGCTCCCGTTCGTCGGGTGGCGTTTCAACATGCAAGCTCTCCGACTCCTTCGCCAGATCTATCGCGGCAACAGAGTCGTTCTTGGACTGATCGGGGCCAGTATGCAACTCCTCAGAAGATACTACCTTCTCTGGTGTTGGTGCGACTGCAGATGCTACACCAGCGCCGACAATAGCCGCAAGCTCCGCGAGGGCATTACCTTGAGTGGGAGACACCGGCCGATCTTCCTCTGAGGTCAAGGAGACAGGGACAGAGTCCTCAACAACCGGAACGTTTGCATCGGCAATACTCCGGGTAGTGGTGTCAACATCTTCGATACCTTGTTCCTTGTCCGAGGGAGCTTGCGTTTCAGAGACCAAGGTATCGTCAATTCGGAGGCTGTCATCGGCACGTCCAGCATCCGCATCCTCAACCAAGCCAGAATCCGCGCCAGAAGGCAACGCGTGCATGGCGGAATCAGCCTTTTCCTGTGTGGGTGTAGTCTCTGCAATGTCTTCGACATGAGGCATCTTGTTGTCTGGTGTAGCTGGCCGCATTTCAGGAAGCGATGGCATAGCTTCCACCATACGCTCGATGTCAGCCTCATCTTTTACTCCGACCGCAGAACCTTCGGCCGAGGGAAGGGCGGCCATCGTTGGAGACGGTGGCAATTCTGGATAACTGGGCGGGTCTTGCAAAAGCTCGGAAGGCGAATGGAACTCGTAGTTCAAATTTTCTTTCCGGGGAGGAGGGTGGTGAGAAGATTGGCCGAAGGTAGCAGCAGTGGGAGTGCCTTGTTCGGAATCAAGGATATCATAGGGGGATTCGTCACCCGGTTGATTCTGTGCCAAAGACATTTCGATATCACTGGGCTGACGTGATCCCTGAACGTGATGGCTTAGGTCAACCATTTCCCACCTGGTGTCATCTGGCAGAGCCCTCAGGTCTTCCAAGGACGCGCGCGCCGACGAAGATTTGCTCGATGGCAAGGAGGGCAAGGGCTCATCGGATTGCGGATCCGCTTTGCCAGTACCAAAGCGCTCAACAAGCCACAGGGGCCGGATCTCGCGGGAATTCTTGAACTCGGTAGAGGCTGGGCGGCGGCGTCCCTGGGTCGGAGAGCCGGGGGAGGGTGCGGCGGCTGAGGAAAGGGAAGGAGACCGGTTCACTCGGGGGGAAGTTGGGGGTCGGCGGAAGTGCAGGGGCACCGCAGTAGGGGACTCGGTTGACCGGAGCACAGACGACCGCCGAGATCGCGGGCCTTGGTCCTCTTCGTGATACCGGGCCATCTCAGGCGAGGTTGGTCTACTTTGAGACGTGGGGGCCGGATCGACGGCTCTCTCAGTCGCAGGAAGCGATACAGAGCGGCTCCGTGGCCGGGAATCCAGGACATCGAGCCCCAGCCCTGTAATCTCAGAATCCAGCCGCCCCGAAGCACCGTGATCATCACCCTCGTCTACCTGGCCTGGCATTTCGGGGCCCTCCACTAAAAAAGACCGTTGCTCGTCGTCCTGCAATTGCTCCCGTTCCTATACATGGGAAAGAAAGAATGAAACCCTTAGTATATGCACGGTACGAAACCTCTCAAGCAGATATGGGAATAGCCTGGGCAAAAACCAAAAAAAGATTTACAAGTAACGGGAAAGACAGCCAAGCACTATACCTTCTCATACTCCGAGGGTTTACCCGAATCCATCATGTCCTCGTATCTCTGTCGCCGTCTTTCTTCCCTTCGTTGCCGGCTAGACTTATAATGCTCAACGTTAATGTTCTCCTTGTCCTCAACTGCGCTGGTTTCGTCATCCAGGGCGTCCCCTCGGTTGGAGCTGCGTCGCCTGGAAGACTTCTCCCTCCGTCGAGGACCAACCTCTGATTGGACTTCACGGGAGGAGCGCCTATCAGAAGAGGATGCCCTTTGCACTTCCACCGGTTCGGAAATTCTGGATCCGAAAAGATTGCTCAAGTAACCGCCGGATCTGGTCTCTTTGGACTTCTCATCCGTGCTCCTGCGCTTGTCGCTGGCCTCTCCAGATCTGGCGGGCGAAGAGGTGCTGGAAACCGCTTCTTCAGAATTGTCACTTTTGCGCTTGGAACGCCTCTTCCGTCGCTTCTTCTTTCCTTCAACTGCTTCACTCCCGACCGCAGATGCACTAATTTCGTCATTCCCTTCAAAGTCACTGCCGCTCTGGTCGGAATTGTCTTGGGTGGTTGAAACCATATCGTCTCTTGCTTCGGGTGCTGATACTACCGAGAAAGAGCGATCTCCTTGCGTTGTGGTCGGATCGCTCGGTTCCTTTGGGGTTTCGAATAGTTCTTCGGGCTCAAAGCCGCCAGGCATGGAAAGGACTTCCTCAGGGGGTTCGATCTGTTCGCTTTTGCTGACGGATTCCAGGCTTCGCTGGCTATCAAACCTGTCGTTGGCATCGCGCCCTTTCGGACGATTGAGGTGCTCGATAACCGCTTGCGCGATTGACTGTGGGGCTGGTGTTATGATCTCGCCACCAGACAGAGGCTCAGGTTCAGCAAAGAGGGGGCTATCCTCAATGCGGTGGTCCAGCGTTACCGGTGCTCTTTCATTATCCGGTGTTTCCACTTCACCTTCGACAAATCCATGAGGTACCGTGCGCGAGACGGGCATTTCATCCCAGGGCGAAACAAACTCCACCTTAGACTTCGACATGGGAGAGCTCCTTGTATGGTAGGTGGGGTCATCTGTCACAAGGGAGGGGTCAAAGCCTGCAGCTGCAGTTGCAGCAGCAAGTGCAGCTGCAAACTCAATATCCGCTCCCACAATGCTCGGTACATCCTTAGGTGAAGGGTCAGTAGAGGAGCCAGCCGGGTACTCTTGGACATCGCGTGCAGTGATATGCTCAACGTCTCCGTGCTCGATGCCTCTAGTATCTTGATCCACTGATTCGAGCTCAGAGGATGTCGAGGGGACTTCATATTCATGCATCTCATGCTTGCCCCAGGACACGCGCGAGCCGGTCGTTTGTCGTTCAAACGTGACATCCTCTTTGGGCCGCTCTGGGATCAAGATAATCGGCGACGCCCTGGCGGAGCCAATCAAGCTTTGCGGAGGTGTGGGCTCAGTAAGTGTCAGTCCCGGGACAGGCCATGGTAAGCCAGTGTAGTCAGGATGCGGCTCTTCCGTCACAATTGAAGCTTCATTTGTAGGCTCGACTTCAATGATTGTGGGCATCGACGTAGGCTCTCGGCGTGCGTAAGTATCAGGGCTGTAGCGTAGTTCTTCCGGCGCGAAGAAACGCGCGTAGTCCTCGTAGACGGGCTTAGCGGGCTTTGTGCGAGGAGGCCGACGAGATGGCTGAGGCCTGACATCCTCTGGCTGGCGGACCACTTGCGAGCGCTCCTCGGCCACGGGTTTCCCAGCTTCAGACATCGGAAGACTCGATGCGATAGACTCGGACTCCGAGACGCGGCGTCTCTCTGCGCGGCGCTTTTCTCGACGCTCCTCGTGCCGCCGTTGACTGGCAGTCTCGGAGGAATCATCGTTGGAGGATTTGCCGGACAGCATTGTACCGACAGCAGCAACACCCACAGCGCCTGCGGCAGCGGCACCAATCCAGGATGAGGAATCTCTCTCTCTCCGAGAATATTCTTCCTCCATCCTTGACTTCTCATATTCGCGTTCTCTCTGGCGGCTTGCTTGGTGCTCAGCGTTCCGAACCGCCATCTCTTGCTCTCTATCTACAAGTTGCACTCCTTCTCTGCGCTCACCATCACGTCGTGAGCTTTCCCGTTGATTAGAACGTCGTTCCTTGTTAGCCTGCTCCTCGGTCAAGTCGAACTGAACGGAGGCTTGATCTTTCAGCGTCGCGCGACGTCTAACACTTGTCGTTGACATGCTCTCAAGGGGCTCGGTGTGGATGACGGGAGAGGAGTCACTACGCCGGTGTGAACGGTTGATCCTTGAAGAGATGTCGCTTCGCTCAACGTATTCCTCAGATCTCTGATTCCATCTGTCGCTTCTTGCATGTGGCAACGGGGTTTCATAAGGCATGAAAGCACTTCCGGGAGTAGGTGGCTCGTCAGGTGCACTGTAAGCATGGATGGATTCACCTTGAGTGGTGTATACAGACTGTGAAACCCGTGTCACCGGTTGAGGTTGCTGTAGCGGAATCGGTCCTGGCCGGACTAATGTCGGCTGAGCAGGAGGCAGAGATGACACATTGATGGCGTCGAAACGCGAAGGGTCACTGGTGGGTATAGGGGCCACGTGTTGAAGACTTCCAGTGCTGCTTGCGGCATCCTGGCCAGATGCCTTTGAATCCCGGTGGTATGCCGAAGCTAAGGCGGCTGTACCGAGACCAGCGGCAATTGCGGCCTCCGCAGGGAAGCGCTTACCCGGTGAGCGAGACCTCCTCTTCTTCTTGGTCTTCTTACGTCCCCATCCCCAAGTCCACCTCGACGTTCCAGAGTCGGATGAGTGTGAGTCCGTGCTAGGGAAAAGCCCACTACCTCCAAATGCAAGACCAGAGTTGACGCTTGATGAGGACTGGTCTCCAGAGTCTAGGTCCTCCCAGCCGTCATCGTTGGCAGCAGACGACTCACAATATGATCGACCGGATCGAGATTCCTTGCCGGCAAGGATCTCCCCGGTACGCCGACGACTCCGCTCGGAAGAGGCCACCAACGCTGTTGCGGTTGCGCTTAGTCCTAGCAACGCTGCATCCACATCTTCGTCTGCCTTCTTTTTGCCTTTCCTGTTAGACTTACCTGACTGGCGTTTCGTGTAACCATTCCCAAACGCCAGATCCGCATCGAGGGATGACGACGAAGAGTTATGAAACGAAAAGATGCTCTTGCGCCTCTTGGTTCGTCGCTTCCGACGATTTTCCGATGATGCAGTGAAAAACGAACTGAAGCCACTACCAACGGTCTTTCGAGCTGGTCTTGAGATGTCGACAAAGGAGCTATCAGAGGAAGACGTCTTTCTACCCCTGGCCTTTCTAGGAGACGGGCTGCGGCTTCTGCTTCGGTGGCGGGATTCATATTCTGACATGGCCGCTGTTCCTACTGCAGCGCCCAGTGCCGCATCCCTCAGCGCGGCATGTCGCTGGACTCTGGATGATGACCGGGACCGCGAGCGAGAGCGTACGCGGGAATCTTCGTATTTACTCAGCTTCGAGTCCGAATGATAAAAGCTGTGATCAGTTCGTTCTCGAGACTGGCTCCGATAGGATCGTCTGTAGACGCCACGCGAGGTTTGGCTTTGTCGACCAGCTGTGGATGCGCCCTCACTTTCGTGTATGGAATGCCGAGAGCTTGCCACCCGACCCGATCGGATGCTATAAGACTCGTCAAACTCCTTGTTACTGAATATCGACTTGACCGCAATCCCACCAAGTAATCCGGGCAGCCATGAATTACTTGGCGATCTTTTGCGACGCCTCCCTTCATCCTCCGACGACGTGTAGCGGCTTGTCTTATCAACACGTGAGCCATTGGTGTATCGATCTGCAGAACGGCGTCGGGGCTTATGGTTGTGTCTCCGAGGTGCGTCTCGTGATGTCGAGCCGGGTTCAAAGCAATATTGGCAAATCCCGATGGTTTCTGTGTAGTCTTCGAACATCCCTACCCCCTCTGGATCCCGCCAGAAGTCGATAAACTTATCCAAAGGACCCCGTTGGCGTTGCTGGAAAGCTAAGCCTCCGGACTGGAATGGAGCACCGTGATAGACGGCAGCATGATGAGGGTGCAGAGGACTTGCCGCGTACCCTGCCGCTGCTGCCGCTGCCGCTGCCGCGGGTCCCGCTGCAAATGATGTCGGGGTTTGCTGGGGTGGGTACATCGAGGGATCTGGGTAAGCTGGACTGTTCTGAGAGACCTCTTCGTGGTTTTGCACGGTCTCTTGATAAGAATGGTCTACGCTAACGGAGGACTGATGGTGGTGACTCATCATGTAGCCAGCTGCTGCACCTACTGCCGCTGCGCCGACTGCGGCACCGACTCCCTGAGAATGAGGAGGCTTCTGAGGGCTCGATGCGCTAGGCGGCACATAGGTTGAAGGGGATTCTGAGATGGTGTGCTCCGAAAGCTCAGTGGCTGCAGCCGCCGCCGCCGTTGTTGCTACCGCAGCGGCGGGTGATCCAGATATCGCGGCTGTCTGTACGGACGGTCTCGGCGGTTTTGGTTTGGACGGTTTCGCCGGCTTTGGCGGCTTGGAGGCAGAGGCAGAAGATGGCTGTTCAGCTTGTTCGATCCCTAGATCAGCGTCGTCCGTGTAGTAGGCTGCTGCGGCGCCGACCTGCCCCATGCTACTAGGTTCTGGTGGCGGGTTTGCTACTGGAGACGCTGCCATCAGATGCGCTTGGTCGCTCGGGGTCACCAAAGGAGGTTTAGGCCGGACGCCTGGCTGGTCTTGAACCGACTGTCCCTGGTCGCCATAGTATTCGGCTGCTTCACCTGCCGGGTGCGGGGGTCGGTAGGGTTCGGCAACATATGTCGGGAACTGGCCAGGAAACTGTTGCGGTATATGAGGATCGTAGAATGCGGTCGCATGTGGTGGGCTGGGCAATGAAGTGGTTGGCGTTCCGTTAGTGACTGGAGGGTACGGATGAGAACCCGCGATTGCGAAGCCACCCTCAGCGCCAGAGGTAGGCATACCCACAGACACCGGTGGTGAGTACATATCGCCCGACTGAGTACGTTTTCGTTCTGGCCGATCGCCATCACGGTCGCGCGATATGGTGTCGCCGGCGCGATCGTTGCGATCTGTCCTGGTCCGCTCACGCTCCCGGCTCGGCGATCGCACTCGCTCGCGCCGGCGGGAGGTTTTCCCCTCTTCATCGCCATTGTCTCGGTATCGATCGCCACGGATGGTGTCGTCAGAGTCCTGGCGTCTCGGCGCGCGTTCGATCACGTAGCGATCCGGCTCAACGGGGCCCTGGTCTGCCGTCGCGTAGCTCGAAGCGACGGACTCTCCCGCTAGACTCGGCGCATAACGTTTGCTCCGACTGCTCGAGGATCGGTAGGTCGACAGGTCACCCAAGCCACGATCACGGTCGTCACCCCGTGAGGACTTGCGGCTCACTGTCGAAGACTTCGAGTCGGTTCTGCGCCGGCTACTGCTCTTGGAGCTGGAGGAGCTGCGGACATCGGAGGATGAGCGACCCCCGCCCAGGAGAGCTTTGAACATGGTGGGCAGAGAGCGATCAAAGCTCTAGCGACTCAGGCCACCATGTGGAATTGAGGGTGGACACGGTCGCCGAATTGAGCCGTTGCACCGAAAGAAATTAAAGAAAGATCGGATTATACAATGGGAAGAAAAATCGTGCAATCGTCACGGGGTCCGTCAAGAGGGGAAAGGAAGGAGGACCATGGGGGAGAAGAGAGGGAGGGGTGGTTGGTTGGTTGGTTGGTTGGTTGGTGAAAGGAAGATTGAGCGGGAACGATGATAATAATGATGGCTGGCTGGATGAAAGGGAAAGGGTTGGCGGCAGTATAGATCGGCGGGTGTTGTTTTTTTACGATGGGCGGAGGAAAGTAAACAACAAGTGAACCGTGGTTCTTTTTTCCTCGGGAGCGGAGACCAGAAAGAACCACGGGCTGAGCTGGGCTGGGCTGGTGAGTGGGTGACTTTGAAGGTCAGCCTTCAGCAGCGTCGGTTGCTCCAGACAATCCGCCACTAACGGGCCTAGCGTGCTGAACCAAGACCAGGATGGGGCGCGATGGACGAGGCCGGAGCGAGTCCGTGAGGAGCAGCAGGAGGATGGATGATAGATCGAAGGGGGAAAGTTGAAACGCTGACGGACAAAGGAATGTGGGGTATCGATCGGGTCAGATGCGCGTGGGTGCGATGGCAGCAGCATTCATCCATCGGATCTGAGATGGAACAGATCGAAAGAGGCGAAGAGAGAATCGAGATGACTATTCCGTCATGCCGCGAGAGGGAAGAATGTGAAGGAATCGGAAGAAAGAGAGGAAAACTCGCGGTGAGGCTGGGGTCGGGGGGCGGCACGTGCCCGCGCAAATCGAAGAGGCTGGCTGGAGCCTTCCTTCTAAGTCTCTGCCGCACTCACGGACAATCCACCTACACGCTAGACATCTACGGACTACTACCACGCAACATGGGAAATACTAAAGAACCTCGCGTTCCTGGACCGATCGAGGTGGTCCCAGCAGCATGTACAGACGGACACCACCTGCATGCAGGCCATCACTAGCCACCTGTGCAGGACGGGCTCCTCGATGAGGCCAAGATGGCAACGACAGCAGCAACAACATCCCCATCGACCTCTAAACCACACACCTATCAACAGCCCAACACTTCCCGCACAAGGGAAAAATCTTCCCACTTCTCGTCTTCATCTACGCCCACATCAGACGTCCACTTCATCCCAGACGATAGACTGGAGAACATCTGAGCCATCACCCCATTCGCAGCGACTGCGACACCAAAATATGCGCCCTCAACCCTCTGAGCATCTGTTGCACCAGTTCTCCCGTAGTATGGGGGGCATGATAACGAGATAGGTCGGTTGTCGTAAGAAAAGCCTTCCGAGCGAGCGACGTCGCGTGAACCGCAGAGTAGGAAGTAAATCCAGACAGACAAACCCAGACGGCATGACAGCTTGCCAACCAAACGTAGTCGAGTTGAATTGACACTGGGCATGACCTTGCTCTGGGAGTGAGTTAACCTAACAACGCACTCTCGATCTGCTCTCGTCTTTACCTCAGCCAGCACCACCGCCACCACCTGGCTCCAGTCATCCGAGTCGGCGATGTCCCCATCTGAAGCCCGATAATAACTAGATTTCTAACACGGCGGAGGACAGCAACACGAGTGGATACGTCGAGCACCCGATACCCCGTGTGCATTCCCGGCGAACTCCTTTTTGCCTTTCAAAGTGTATGTCATGCAGAAGTCAGATGCACCTCTGGGTTGTTCTTGCGAAGTATGTATCAACTTCCGAGTCTATCAGCCGTCGATCGGGACATATGTAAGGGTGGACAAGTCTCGCGCCCAAGACGGAGTTGGTGAGTAGCCGCCCAGTGACAACCAGGGGCCCTGTCTCTATAGGTATGTACCGTCTCGAGACCGCTGCCCCGGCATGGTTCCCCCTGTTCGCGCCGAGTCTTGTCGGTCGGCGGTAAAGGCCCCCACCCCCCCCGGTGGGATCGTTCCGTCGGAAGAGGTCGTTACGGGGTATTTGATGCATTGGGGAGTACCACTCGCAGGTGGGCGCCTGTAGGCGGCAATAATTCCCTCCCTAGGTGGCCCAATCATTCCGATGCGACAGAGCCACGACCGTGCAAAGTAGGCAGCCGAGATGATTGGGGCAGCTCAAACAATTGCCCAAACGGGGTGCCAGCGCATGGGACACTCTGGCCGAGGACCACTCAAAGCCGGCACCGCATGCAGGGTGGATGCAGTCGGCAGTCTGCCAGAGTGTCGCAAACCAGCCAGGGCGCACAGCTGAAGCCATGACCGGCGCCCCCCCCCCTCTACGCCGGGAGTCGCTCCTAACCTAGTCGCCCTCCAACCCATCGGACCAGTCTCCCGCGGGACGGAAAGGAAAGGACACGACAGAGGGGAGGGGGAAATCAATAGAACGGAGAATAAACAATCAAATCAATCATGCATGCATGCACTGTACGGCCGTCCATGGGGATCCTCTGGTGTAATGTACGCGGGGGTCATCCTTGATCCGCGGAAAATGCAATCAGATATACCCTCCCAAGCCAGGTCCAGCCCCAAAGAGCCGGATGCAGTCGACGCCACTAGAAAACTCCAAAAAGCACAGAAGGCCCCACCGCAAGCCCAATCGATGGGTCCATGATGTAAATCTCAGATATCCGCCCTTCCCTTCACATGCAGGAGATAAGAAACAATGATGCAGATCACAGACGCTGGGAGAAACCACCAATTATCAACAAGGGGAACGGAACCAATCAGCCGCCATGCCCGTCGCCCCGTATATAACATCTGGTATAAGAATCCGGGCCGGGGGGCGCCGTGGTCTAGTATTATGGGGAGAAAAGACGCCGGGAAGACCTCGTTCTTGCAAAGAACAACAGAAAGCAAACTCATGATTATTAGACACGATTCGTGCCCCCATGACAGTCTCCAGCGCGTGGTGTCGCTAATCGTAATGAGCCAGGATACCCGCGGGCTCTCCAAAAATCTTCTCATAGATCTCGCTGAGGATCTTCGCGTCGGCACGTAGACTGGGCGAGATCTCGCGGCTTTGAAGGAGAAAGCGGATGGTTCGCTTGAGCAGGCGCTCGAGGTCGTTCCGATCAACCAGCTCGGAGAGGCTCGACATGTAAGTAGCCGATAGCACCAGCATATTGCCGAATTGGCTAGTAGAAGAGTCACACGGTCAGCACTAGTCGCCATCAGAGGAAGGCGTGCAGGGTCCCACTTACGCATGGGCGGTTCCAAAGATATTCGTCACCACTGGTCGGCCATCAATGCCATCAAAGGCCTCCGTACTCAAGATGGCGGAGTCGATGCATACTTTGCACGCTCTTCGCAGCTTGGGGTTAAGGTCACGATAGGCGAAGGGGGCCCATGCTGCTCCTCCCGGAGTTGGGGTCGGGGTGGGAGCGCTTCGAGCCATGGGGCCAGCATCACTGGGCAAACGCGCCATAGCAATGGCCCGTTGGCTGTGAGGTAATGACGGGGAGACTTGTTGCGATCTCGACCCCGACATCGCAGATCCGATAGGCGAGTCGACCGACGCTGATCGGCCACTCCCGCCAGCAGAGTTCGTGTTCAAATGCAGAGCATGGTAGAGGAGCGGTCGATGAATGATGTACCGCGCGCCATAGTACTTGGCTCGCATCCGAGCGACGTTGATGTCCGGGTGTGGGGGATCCGTGTCCTTCCACTTCATCAAATCAGGCAAGCTACTCCTCCATAGCTCGAGGTTCATGCTCAGGATCTCCTGGACGCTTGGAGACCAATGGTCGGTGTTGCCATGTTCTGCAATGAAGGGTTAGTAGGTGCTCGGGGTCCAGTCCACTGAGATGAACTCACTTTCGACTTTGTACAAGTCAGTATGGACACGGTTGAGAACCTTTCTTAGATGAATCTGGGCGGAGTAGAAGAACATCATCATAGTACTCGGAGCATGAACATCGTTTGGCAAAGAAAGGGTTCGACCCTTGGGCAAGGCAATGCGCGCTTCCGAGCGAGATATACCGCTAGCCGGAAGATCAAGTTCGGCAAGAATATCGCTGTATCACCGATACATCAGTCTCATGGATAATGCAGGGGAAATGCAAAGGGGGCATGCTTTACCTCTCGAGTTGGAGGCAAGTCCAGTATGCGAAGTCATACAGGTCTTTCAGGGGACCATCATTCATCTGTTCGTACCGTTTCCTGGGTCGAGTCAGAAGACAGCTCCTCTCGTAAGTTCCAACGTTCAGGCACAACATACGATCGAACAAGCACTTGGCACGATCTAGCCGCTTGATAAATCCAGCCATGACTCTGGAAAGGGTGCGCTAACTGTCCTGCGTAAAGCCCTGCTAGCAAAGATGCTTGGACATGGTACAGCCCATTCGCGCCTTGTAGACTTCCGAGAATCTGCGCGGCATACGCATAATATGCCAACCCAGGAATGACATCTACATTCCTGAGATGGCGATTGTCCAGAAAAGCCTTCGAGCCGTCGGCGGTGGATGAAAAGGATGTGCTCTGTCCCTGGGAGAATATGCTCCCCTGCGACTGAAGAACTGACTCCGTATCTGTCGGTGAGAGCATACTGCGTGTAGAGGGCCCCGGAATCCTCTCTTTCCGGAAGTCCACCGGCGTGTCCGTAACTGGACCCGGGATGGCTCCCCGGATATCGCAAATACTACCCAGTGCGAGCACCAACAGAATAATGGCATTTTCGAGCGACTTCTCGACGCGCGGGGTGGGGCTGGGGCGGTCGGGTTTAGCTCCAGGAGGATACTGCATATCGCATCCTGCACCTTGTAACACTTCGCAGGAACGCTTCCTTTTCGCACCCCGTGGCATGTCCCCGGCGGTATTATTATTCACGATATTGGACTGTGGGCAATATCTCTGAATGAATGCTTCGATCCGGCCGCTCAGTTCGGATTGATTTAAGAATGGATGAAGCTTATGCATGTGATTCAGGTAGCTGTTGTGATAATGACGAACAGTCTCCGGGTCGGTGCTGAACATGCCAAAATCATCGATGCTCGGTCGCAGCACCTTGAGATGGGAGCCGTTTTGATTTGCTCGGCCATTCCATTGGCCGCTGGGAGAGGCATCATTGGGGTATGACTGGTCCCAGTGGGGGTGCGATGTGGAAAAGGTCATGGCCGGGCTCTCACTGGTGTCATGACCTTCGCCGCGGCCATAGACCAGGATCAAGCCGCGCTCCTCTTCCAGCTTCATCACGTAATCATCGTCGTACTCTCTCGGTTCCAGAAGGGTCTTGATAGAACCCCACGAAAGCAGTTTATGCGCCGCAGTGGTATGCTCGACCGGTATTGACAGGTCGCCATCTTCCCCTTGCGGAAGCCCTTCCCCTTCGACTCTTTCCAGCTCCTCGCCCACGATCGCGTTCATGTCTTCTTCCTTGGTTTCCGTCTTCTGGAGGATATCCGGGAGGTCCGCCTTTTGTGACCGGGGAAGTGCTTGTTTTTCTGATTCATTGCTGTTGACGACCTTGGACTCTTTCAGCCGAGGGTAGGTTGTTATCTGAGTGATCTGATTCGATTGCTCTACTTGAAGCTTGGACAGTCGTTCAAGCTTCTCGTTCAGGCCATCTTCTAATTGGGAGATCCGGTCCAGGAGAAGCTGGGTTGCCTTTTCTTGCCTGTGTCCGTCGTCAGCGCATGCCCACGGGCCCATACTGAAACATGGGGACAACTGCTGGTTCACGGACTTGTGAGGTGGAACTTCTTTGTAAACACAGATCAAATTGTTCTCCTTGCAATGGCTACAAGCGGGGCGGCCTTCATCGCATTTGGCCTTCCTCGTTCGGCATTGGTCGCAGGCCTTCCCAAGTAGCGACATATCACCAGTCAGCCAGGGTCTAGAAGCTTCGCTCCCGTGAATGCCAGAAGATGAGGGTTTACCTGTTGCGCTCGCGCGGCCTTGCGTTGACGGATCCCATAACCCTGACTTCCGTAATAACTTGAATCGTACGGCGTCGGAGTATGCGACATGGGCGGAACGGGGGTGGAATATTGGGTCGGGGGTAAGGTATGAGGGGGGGGCGCAGGGTCCCCATTGCTGTGACTGTGACTGTGAGTCTCCTGAGGCGGAAAGGACATGCGCGACCGGTAGTCGGGGGGTGCGGAGTGGGCAGCGGCGTCATGGGGAGTTCCGTTCATGGGGCGAAAGCTTGGATGGGGGGTGGGAGCCTCGGGAGGGGTATGCGCCGGGCCTGGCAGACTGCCTTGTCGACTATATGGGCCATCAGGTGGAAGCTGCGGTAGCTCACGATTGGGCATGACGGGATAGCCGTGAGGGGGCAGTGTGGGGGGAGGAGCGTTGGACGTGCGACGCGGTTCCGCCGGGTGTGCCTCATAAGAGGACGAGTACGGCGGCGGGCGCCATGGCTGTTCGTAGACTGCCGGCGCACCGGGCGGACCATGCGATCCCTCCAGAGTCGGAACGCGATGCATGGGCGACGGAGGGCCAGCACTGGCCGGGAGGAATCTCTGCTTCTCGTCGATGGGGACGACTTCGGGACCGTGACTACGGCCAAGGACTCCAGGCTGCCGCAGATCCACGGCGGACAATCGACTGAGTGTGATAGTCATACAGTCAGGAGGACATGACGTCCCAGACAAGCCTTTATCAAAACCGTATTGTGCGACCGAAGGGTGGTGGGTGGGACGTGGGAACGCCCGAGGGTTCCAATTCGGGGAATGGACGGGATGATGCTGGCGTTTCGTGCTTCTTTGTTCGGGCGCCCGTCAGGTTCTGGCTCCCGTCCGGCATAAAAAACCGTCGTGGTTCACACTTCAATGAGCACGCGCGCGAAGAGGGGGTCGAGGATCGATCTGCGAGAACGACTGCCGCAAGGAACAAGCCGGTAGCTTTCCGATGGTTAGCGGGAGTCGGGTGGACAACGGTCAAGCGATCAGCGAACCACGATAAACCACCTCCACCAGCAGCAGGGGAGGGGAAGAGGAAGAGAGGAGAGGAGAGGGGAGGGGCGCGGAATGGAGGGGAGGGGAGGGGGGTTAGTAGGGCAACGCGGAGCGGAGCAGAGAGCAGGAGAGTGACAGCAGCAGCAAGCTAGCTAGATAGATAATCACAGGAAGACGATGAAAGCAATGAAAGCGAAGGCGGTATTTCGTAATGATAACCGTAAGAGGAATAAAATATAAGAGGATGATCATATAAGGAACGACGCCGCGGTAATAGTGCCCGAGTACTAAGAAGTATGAGACCGTATACCGGACATGGGAGCCAGAGAGACTGAGGGAGGGGAGCGAAGAGGGGGAGCCAGAAGGGATCCGCGCCGCGCCTAAGGACGGTAAGGTAATCTCCATCCAGGCCTCGAGGAGTGGACACACCGACCCTGGCACGGTGAAAACTGCCGAATCAAGTCGGCTCGGTCAATCACCACCATCGCCCCCAGTAGGTAAATGGATCGTAGGCACCTTAGGGCAGGTCCCGGAGTATACCATGGGGATTCAATGGAGCCCGAGATGGCCTCGCCACGCACATCAGCAGAGCCATTGGGGGTCAAGGAACACCTCCAGAGAACAGCAGTACCGGCCGAATGACAGCCAGGACCATGATCCTCATACCGAATACCAAAAATAACAAGGATTTGGAACCCCCAGCTCAGTCAAACAGGAAAAGGAAAGGCCCAAAAAGAAAGAAAAGGGATCCGAAAAATAAAATGACATAGATAAAACAAAATAAAATCAGGAAGGAGGAGAAAAAAAAAAAAAAACTGGTACGTACTTACAAGCGTCGTCTCCAGTCGCCCAAAGGATGAAGGAAATGGAAATAAAATACGGAGTACGACGGGCGGGTTTGGCACTTGTCTGGTGCTCTCCGATCAAGCGGGAGGATAAAAGGGATTAGTGGTAGCTAAGGTAGCTAAGCCAAGCTGTCGGGTCGCCCGGTGCAAAAAAGGTCGATCGAACGGTGGAAAGGGCAGCGCAGCAGCGCGGTTTTCCCTTAATAAGAAGAAAAAGGAAAAAGGGTCGAGGGATTCGGAGGGGGGATTCCCCAAAAAGACGGCCCGAATGTCTGGGATGTCGATGGATCCCTCGTCGGGATTAAACTCGAAAGAGCAGGTTGAACAAGAAAGAAATGGAAGCGTTCCCGTGCGGTCACTGGGAGCCTGGGAGGAACCAAAGTTAACCTGTTCAGAGGCACCACTACTACTGGGAGTAGTCAGTGGATTGACGGATCGGATGGGGTAGAGGCGGGATCGAAGGTTGGAAGAACGATGACGATGACGAGGACGATAGATAGAGGCGGGCAGGAGGATAAAATAACTAATGGCCCGTCAAGTCAAAGTCAATGAGCGCGCCGTGACAAAGAAAGTCTGAACTATCAAGCAAACGGCCAAACAAGCGGAGGCTGATATGCCTTGAAGAGTGTGTCTGCTTGCCCCTCTTTTTTTTTCCCTTTCCTTGGTGGAGGGGGGAATTGGGCCCATAGGAGAGAGAGAGAGAGAGGGCGCGCGCGAAAGAAAGAGAGAAGTCGGCGGACCGATAATATGGGCGACGGTGCTCCTGCGATCCTTACAGGCGATGGCAACAATAGTAATGATGAGAATCGCAGAGGCGACAGAAGCAACCGTCCAGGTGAGCTGCTTTTCCTCCGCTCTTCCGCGCTTCTTGCTCTCTTGGATTTCTCCTGCCCTTCTTCTGCCTTTCTTCTTTTCTTTTCCTTTGGACGCACGCCTCCTTCTGATGGTGCTGGGTCTGGTAACCCTGAACCAGGATCCTGGTTTGCATGAATTAACACAAGCCACCAGAATTGACAGATCGCCTTTCTAATTCGTCTGGGCGGTCCTGCTTTTTTTTTTTTTGTTTTCTTTTTGTTTTCTTTTTGTTTTCTTTTTGTTTTTTCCCTCTCTGTCTAATAAATTTTGCTTGGTCCTCTTCTTTTTTTATTTATTTAATTTTTTTTGGGAAGAGGGGGGCAGGCAGATGGTCTTCACTATCTCGGTTTCGGCTCTGGCTTCTGGTGACAGACCAGAAAACCAAAAAGGCAGAAAGTGGAGCCGCAACTGGAGCTGGAGCTGAACCGGGACGGGCTAAAATGAGGTTCGCAAAATAAAGAAGAAATGAAAACCCACTTACAAGTGTGTGCAGTCTTGGGAACTGAAGGAACTGAAGGAATTGACTGGGTACCGTCGGTTTTTTGATCGGTTGGGGGCCCGCAATCAGCTCCGGTCTTCCTCAGTGCCACATGGACGGTGGGCTGGAGAAATCGTCGTCCGTCGTAGTAATAATCAAGGGAGGCGCTCAAACAGACCCAACGTCAATCAACCCCGTTGGCAGTTGGTGAATCGACGGTGGTCGGGTCCGATTAGGAACAACTTTCTCCTCGGGGGGGGGGCAAGGCCAGGGATAAGCTGGTCCTGAACAGATCGATGCCCAATATCTCTCGCGGGGTGGGAATTCCCTTGGCCGATAATAGTAGTGATGGTGCAAATTGAGGGGAACCTGATTATATGTCTCCGCCTAAAGGGAAGTCCGAGAGGCGACTCCAGAACTCCACGAGTACGTACTCCAGTGCTATCTATCTATCGCTCGGGCGATTCGTAGGACACTGGGACAGCTGGAGGGACAAAACTGAAACCTAGTAGAGGGAAATATCGACCAGCCACAGCAGAAGGGAAAGGATTCTTCAGTCATCCCCTCCCCAAGGGCTGGTTAGATGGATGACTTAACTAGGCGGTAGCACGGAAGTTTACACCCTCAAGACATGCTTGCTGTCAACCGGGACAGCCTCTCAGCTTCATTCTTCCCGTCTGTTGGTGCCCATCCTTTTCTACTCTTGTGATCCAGCTTAATTCACCTGATTATTGGCAAGGGGGTTTCCCCTGTCTTCACCACGCAACGGACTGAGATCGGAAAAGTCAATTTGTCCATCCGCTGAAGTCTGACAGGGGGTCTCTGGAGGGTAGGTTACAGCGATCCAGAGCCAAGCATTGTCTACTCGATGGCAAGAAAAGCATCCGGAAAGGGAGGCCAACCTAGGTAAATGAGCCTGACTCGGGAGTAGGTATGAAGCGAAACAGAGTGTGTGGTATGCATGATGCGACCCCAAGGGGGGGGTGGGTGGGAAGAGATTGAGAAGGAGGAGACCTGAGCGACAGAAGGGTGCCCCACGCAGGCGCAGAAGACGGTGAGCTCGGGTGTCACTTGGTCACTGGAATCAAGGGTTTGAACCGGCTACACCAATACCGTGCGTCCAGATATGCACCAGCAGACTCCGAGTAGAGTTCTGCATGGATTAAGGAGCTGCTGGGCGCTTCTAAAAGGCGGAGAAGGCAGACCCTCATCATCATCTTTTGTTCTTCTTCGTGTCCTGGGCATCATTCTATGATTCTAGCTCGAGATACGGGGTACTCTCTGTAGATACGGAGTAGTATTCAGCGAATTCCAGACCCGAGATTCTTTCAAGGCGATCCTAGATTTGTCTAAAGGACGAGCCACCGTTCGAGTTCTACCCGCCCGCTAAGAAACCAGCGCACCTGAGCGATTAGGTCATCCAGGGAGGCCCCTGTCACGGGCTTGCATACATACTTGGTCGTGCACACCACGGCCATATTATTAACCATTCACCATGGCGTAGCACGGAGTACGGAGTACAGCTCGATACCTAACGAGGAGGAGAAGGAGGGGTGTACGTGTTATCGTGTCAATTGTTTACTCTCCTCTCATTTACCTAACAGGACCCCACAGCCAAAAGCAAAACGGCAGTTGTTCCCTGGTTCTCCTCTGCGCCTAGTCATGGTTCTACTCAGGGACAACCGCTGACTTCTCCGCGGTGGCCCGAAGCACGGTAACTTACGGAAGAGAACCTTGGGACCGTGGGACCAGCAACCAACAACCCAACGCGTCGCTTTTCCCTAGATTTCCATTGCCATTCCATGGGGCCTGTCTGCGGTTCTGGATTGCTGGTCGTCTTTCGGATTCCGGATTACATTCGGCAAACAACTACCCCATCCTTAGCGCGCATTGGGCCTGAATAATGCCAGTCGCCTAGCACAAGGACTCGCAACATACAAAGAACTCTGGAGCCATAGGGGGGAAATTGGGTCATTTGCCACCCTCGGTCGCATCGTGTACCTGCCTCGTATTGTGATACGGAACCCAGCCAAATGGACGGCTTGAGCCTCCGATGGTAAGACCTGAGAATACAACCCGCTCGTAGAGAAGGGAAGACGAGGATGAAAGGAAAGGACAGGCCGACGAACGACTTAGGCTAAAGTCAAGGTGCACTGCTGCCAGTGCCAGCCAGGGTAAGATGACGAGTGGTAAGTGGTGACCGGGCAAGTGCAGCAGCCCGATCATTCTCGTTACTTACTAGTAGTAGTGGGGTCAACAAGCGCTCACCGTCTGGCCTTAACCGTCCCCAAAATTTCGGCTGGAATAATCTCGGTCTCGGGGAAATGGAGGGGCAGTCGACGGCATGATCGCGATGGATCTTGACTATTAAACTGTCCGCGACTTATCACTCCATACTATGTCCTATCTTAGTAGGTAGTCTGTTCTGACTCGCCACCGTTGATAGTCCTCGCTCTTCTTTGTTCTCATCTCAACCCCGTGATTGTCAGGGGCATTAACCCGAGCCTGGAGGCCCAACAACCACTTAGTTGGTCGTTTCCTACGGATACAGAGGATCCCGTAGAGATCCATACTGAGAGTATCCCAAATCATTCATACCGCCAATTGCGTGCCCCTCCACAGTGACCCATTGGCATCCCCCCATTCGGTCGATCCGCCATTTTAGTGACTTTCCATGATCCCGTCTCCTGGAACCCGCCATCGGCTGGCGGCATGTCCAAAGTTCAGCAGACTCCTACCACCGAAGAACTCTATCGCCCCCCGATAATTCATTCCGACTTGCCGTGTCTCCGGGGATTGGTGAAGGTATGAAGTTGCTCGATGGCTCGTTCAAACTTTTCCCTGAATGAAGATCCTGCAAGGCTGGGGCGACTGGCAAAGTTTAGTTGCGGATGATGTGCATCCTGTGCCCCGTACTACTACATAGTATGGACACCTCGGAGGGTACTCCGTACCTACGTCGCAGACTCGCAGTAGGATCAAGCGCGGAAGCAAGGGATAGCCCTGTCCTGGCTGGACTGATCGCTCGACGTTTTGTACCGGAGTTACACGGGTAGACACCGGGTGGCTATTGAAGTGGCTGTGGACGGGATACACCAGGTTGAAGAATGACCCTGGTGCTATTGCGATGGCTGATGCGGTTGTCCGACCTGATCGGGGGTCGGCCAACGAGAGCAGGTAAGCCGCCAGAACTCGTCCATCTCGATGGCTTCAGCTTGAATGTCTCTGGCAACGCATCGCTGCGACTCAAATCCTTGACGGCAGAAAACTCCGGTCCAAGCATCATGGGCATCAACAGTAGAATTAACTACCGAACTCCGGTCTCCTTCCTGCACCCCCATGCGAGGACGGGGTTCTCCGTGGCGTACACGGTGGTCGGCAAGTTACCTGAAGAGTCCGCTGCTCCCTGCCACTGACGAGGTGGAAGGCGACCAGCCAGTGGCCAGGTGGAATGGATGCAGTCATCACGAGGTCCGGGCGCCATTCTTAGACCGATACAGGTAAATCTTCGCCAGACCCAATTGCAGATCAATTCCATGTCTCAGGCCGATGATTTGTCCAGCAAGGACCCCTCCAGTTACCTACCCCTCAGTCGACCGCAGGTCATGAGGTGTGCCAGGCGGCCAGCCAATGCCTCCGGGGCTGGTCCGACTCTGGTCAGAGATGGCCCGTATCGGGAGGCCAATAGCTTCCTGATGGTGATGACAGCGGGACTGCCCGCCTTGTGACTCCGAGAGGATGGTTCGGAGCGGATCATAATTCAAGTGGACGGTGGGATCCCTCCAAAAAAGTGAGGCTGGGGATTCCTTGGCGTTTTATTGGCAGTTAGAATTCAGCACCAGACGGGCATGCCTCCAGGTCTCCACCGCGATATCAAGTCGATCAGCCTGGGGCGAGGAATAAATGGAGGTAGTGAGCCATGGGCACCGGACTGGTCCCTCGAGTTACGGAATGGGGACGGATATGACTACTAAATGGGGCAGTCACTGTCCCTTTGACAAGATGGATATCACGCCGATCGGAGGGGGGAATATTTGAGATTCTTTCCCTCTAGGAGAGCTAAAGCCTCGTTATTGTGCTGATCCTTTGTCTACGCATCGAGTGAGACTGCTTATCGTATCAATCTCATCGCCGACCTCGGGGGGAGGAAGAGCTCTAGCGGACTTATGGACTCATAGCCATGTTAGACCTGGACGTCGAGGACCTTGGAAATGCAGGCGGAATCGGGGTCGCCATCTTTACGCAGGACACACAGGACTGGATCATATCTCCTGTACACAATGCCCACGTGGGCCGCGCTGTGAGAACGGCCGGTGGGATACCCATCGAGTGGCAAAATGATCTATCCCATCTCGCTTGCCCCTTGATGCGATTCGTCTTCTGGGACTCCAGACTGCCACCCCAGGCACTCGGCTAACCTTTTTCACTCCAACCTTATCGAAGATCGGTTGAGCGACCAGACGAAGCGATATCGCTCTAATCGGGGAGGAAGGAGTTATCTAGAGGATGGCAGGAATCCAGGAACGATCTTCCATCTTACGGCGTGCATGCGCAGTGCGCCCATTTCGTGCAGTCTGAGGGATTCGTCCTACGAGTTTGGTGCCACAGCGAGGGGTGCAAGTGCCTGGTCGGTCGATTACGTGAGGGGGCAGTGGTTACCTTATTGACAGACATCGGAATCATCATACTTCATCGTACGGGAGTACACCATCTGTAAGTAATCAGTATAAATGAAGAGGTGATGCCAGCTCCACTATCCAACCCAGTTCTGCAGGTAAGAAGATTGGGAGCAGCTGTCTGTCAGTCGGGGAGTGACGGGCGGCCGGCGCAGGCGCCACTAGCCCCTTCCACAGTTCCACACTACATACATAGTAGAATCTACCAGGGGTCTAGGACCAAGTTGGTAGCACTGCTCCTCCTCTCAAAGGAAGGGATGAATGCGTAATCTTTATTCGAGGGGACAGAGTCTGCCTTGTTTTCTCCCCCTTCTTTTCTCCCCCCCCCCCCAATGCACAGACGGCCCCATTCGGGCACCAATAGTGGCCATCATCTCATGGTCTGTGTGTCAACTGTCATTCAACGGGAGACGGTTTTGCCCACCAGTCAGCCTCACGAAATAATACGACCCGCCATCTTGCTGCTGCCCGGCCCGTCTGGACGGCTTTGTCGAGGCGATCGCTCCAGGTGTCAGGATTGTCGCACGCGCCGACAGCCTACCAAAGCGAGCCAGCCGAGCGCCACTGGACTCATCACATTTCCACCGGTCTGGAACCTCCACAACCTCCTTTTTGTGATCACTGCCGTGCCGGAGATGCTCGGCGCAGGACCGTGAGCAGGGATGCGAAGTGGAGAAGATCGTACCGACAGTTCTGTCGGTGGATGGAGGAGTCGTTCTGACGTACAGGCGCAGATGGAGTACGAAGTATACGTGCAACATGGACTCCTGTCATATGCATTCTGTTACAGCATCTCCGGGGTGGTGGTGTCGCTGCGATCGCTGTGGCATGTGACTGAAGTGTAGTTGGGGATGCTGACCTTTCGTTTCTTGTCTTTTCTTTTTCTGATTCCCAGGGCCGCACCGCAACCGGCCAGAAAGGGAAGTGTGTATAGCAGCCGAGCAAACGTGATATCCGTAATCCACGCCATGGCGGAGCTGTCAATTGCAGATCAGCATCTGGACAAAGCGCCCGTCTCGATCCGACACTGAAACTGTCAGTAGTCTGTCACTACTGCTTACTGGGGGATGCTCGAATAATGAGACGGGCATTAACTGGACGGTCATTTCACCCGCCGGCTAGTCCGCATGACAGGATTCATCTACCTACTAGGTAGATAGATTACGGGTTGGCAGGAAGATTAATTCAGGGGATCAGGAAGTCTTCCGACCAACCAGCATTTCGTCTGTTACCATTTACTGTTCTTGGGTAGGGGTCGGGCAAAAGTACGACTGGTCGACCGCTTCCCCTGATCAGCAGCCATGCGCCTCCATCCTTAGTACGGAGTACGGAGTACTCTGGAGTGGTATCGACCACAAAGTAGTGGTTGGCCAGAGTCATGTCAGTTCGGAGTCGATTACTCGCACCACTGCCACTATGCGCTACATATCCATCTCCACCAGATGCCTCCCCCTGGTTCGTAGTATATTATATGCTATACATTATACATCCCCTATACACCCCAAACCACAACCAAGCAACCAACACCAATAAATAAACACAGTAAAAAGACCAACTCCCTACCTCACACCAAATAAGTAAACAAGTAACCCCAAACAATCAAAATAAACCACCAACTCGGAGAACAAATCCGACCCCACATACATTAGAAAAAGCAACCGAAAGAAAAGTATTTGTATATCGCACAGTAGTCTCTATGTACATAATCCCGACCTACATACATACATACATACATACATACATACATACACTAGATATAGATACCTCTGATACGGAGTACATCTAATACATCCCGAATACATACACACACCCAAAATAGCTCAGGTCTCTCCTGGACTAGCCTTTCTAACCGAGAGAGGAAATATCTTGAGGGCGCTGAGCTGAGCCGCGGGAGAGAGTCTGAGCGGGAGTCTAGAGGCTCTACTCGTTGGATTATGGCGTGTGACTGGTGGGTGAAGTGTGAGGGAATTCATCTTTTGGAGGGTAGGTATTTTCAATTTGATGGATGGATGGATGGATGGATGGTGGTGGTTGCCTTTGTTGCCTGATTTCAGTTGTTTGATTTGTGTTGTTGCGTTTGGTTTGGTGGGTTGCGTTGGGGTTGGGGGTGATATATACTTACAATATACTCTACGGAGTAACTCGTTGTAAGTAGGTAGTACAGACTACGGAGTAGATATGTATGTACATATCTGTCTGTCTGTACGGACATGGGGCATTGAACTAGTAAGTGGAAGTTATTTCCTGGGTTGGTGACTTGTTCATGACTTTTATCTAGTTAGTAGTTATATGTAGGGGTATGTAGGAGGCCCGATGTGGTGATATACCCACTCACCCACACACACCCACACACACCCACACACTTCTGTATGTATATGTAACTTCATGCAGATACATCTCTACATAGTAGTCACAAGTAGTTAATGCGAGTAAGGTATGTAAGGTATGTAGGTATGTAGGTGGAGTATCCTATCCCTTTAATATTCTTGGAAACTTACTCCAGGACTGTATAGTTGGCCAAGTACACTGTAGGTACCCCATAGTAACTAACCACCACCCAGTACCTACTTAGTACGCAGTACCCAGATAGTAGCGAGTCTCCATCCTACCCCAAAATCAAAATCGACTCATCAAATCTATACATACACCCGACCGATCAATCTATCTATCACGCACCCAAAACACATATCGAAAGACCCCATCTCGAAACGACCTACCTCGCAAAGAGGTCTAATACTGAGGAAAGGCACAGAAAGATATTCAATCGATAAACCAATCAGAATCACCCGATCAAGTGATCGTGCGGGGCCTGAGCACGACTCCACACACATACTACTTACCTAGGTATGTACACGCAGACAGATAGACAGATAGATAGATGGCTCGGGGATGGGGTGTCTATTATCTCGCTTTGTTTATTTTGTGTAGGACAAGAAGGGGGTAGGTAGGTACACCGATATCTATATCAAATACTTTCTACGGAGTACACTGCTTACAAAAAAATAAGTACTAACCAAGTAAGTAAACAAACACATTGATAGATACTAGTACGGATGCACAACATAGCCTAATTACCATGATAATCCCTCAAAAGTAACTACTCCGTACTCCCTACCATGACTAAACCTTTCACACTCTACAGTTCCACCATCTCCACCGTATCTACAGCATCCAGTGCCGTCTATTTCTTTCTTTGCTTTTCTTTCCCCATCTTTTCTTTTTACAGTGTGGATCAGTCGAGTCATGCACTCCGTACATAGGGATGGATGTCTGGGGTCATTCGGATTGGTGATGGTGCAGTGTACTCCGTATGTACGTGTCAGATGTGGGTAGTGGATTTGTTGCTCTGCTGCTGCTGCTGGTGTGGAATTTGAATTTGCATCTGCATTTGATTGTCTGTCACAGGTATATTCTTAGTTACTGGCAACTGCGAGGGATTGTATGGGTTGGATTGGATAGGTAAGGGTACTAGATAGGGGATGCTGCATGAGGTTCTGTTTGATCGGATGGGTAGGCTGTTGGTTGGTTGATTGGTTGGTGGTTGGTGGTTGGTGGTTGGTGTCTACAGCCACCAGCATCGCATGCAGCAGGACCAAAATGACAGCGGTCTCCCTAGGATAGATCCAAGTTACATCTCGCTTGTGCAGGAAGATGCATCATGCCATTTCTATATGCCGGATATCATCAGTATGATCATCTACATGTCAATGTCATCCCTCGACCCTCATAATACATTCCATCATGCCATGCAATAGACGCTCCGTCTACAACAGACGTAAACAAATTGGTATAATAAACGCAAACGCAAGATCCGCTGGTGGTAATCAGTTCAGAAACTGAGTCTCCGGCTGCCGTCGTAGCAAATAGTGGAAGATCCGCCAGATCCCCTTCAGCACCTCGACCCGGTCTTGTCCGTCGAAAAGGTCGTACCACCGCGTGCGCCGGAGCTGGAGCACATACCACGGCTGGTCCGGGGTGTCCGTGACCGGCGGAAACTTGCTCGACCCGTGGGTGATGACTTCGAGATATCGCCGGTGCACGCGCAGATGCAGAATCGACACGTGATGGTTGATGGAGGACAGCAGGTAAATCTGGTTCCCGTTAGTCGAGACACACAACCAACCCGAGCACACTTACATCGTCAAACGCACTGTCCAGCGGCTTGCCAATCTGGATATACCGCATCCGTCGATCCCAAAGGCCGGGCCCCGGTTGGACAATCTTCCATCTTTCGCTGTTGCTCAATTTCCGTGTCGCACTCGGTCGACGCGATGCCAGGAATGGGTGCTCATACTTGGAGCGTTTGCGAGCATATCCGCCCATGGACGACAGCTTGTCCTCCCCATGAGTCTCCTTCTCGTAGTCGCTCACGGAATCGTTCAATGCGCCTCCCCATCGGGGCACGGTGGTCCACCACTTGCCTTCACCAGGCTTCACCTCGATGTCTCCTTGCCTCGCCCGTTCTTGGGCTGTCAGGAGCATGGCGCCCACCTCACGAAGCAGATCACACACCTCCCCCATGCCAGCCCCTGGGGCCTCCTGTGGGCCGCGGAACGAGGTCTCGGGGCGGCATTGAGCTACAAAGACAGGCCCTTCGATAACCCCGCTTCGCGCCAGCTGACGGTCCTTGGGAGACCGGGCGGCTTGGAATGTGTGTCGAACAGGGAAAAGCAAGTTTTTGACGGCCAGCCGGGGGGGAGAAATCGGCGGGGCCGCCTGACAGCCAAAGGGCCATGCGGCCATTTCGGTCAGCGCTCGAATGATTTCTTCACGCACATCCTCTGGCATCTCGTTCCCCGACCCGATACGGCGACCCTTGTACATAGTTACCATTTCCGGGGTCGCCTCGGACGGCGCTGGGTCCACGTCCATCGATGTCTCCGGCTGGTCCTGGCCCTCTGATGATGGTACCTCCCCATCGGTCTGCATCTGGTCGGGGCCTTCTTGCTCTGATGTGGGTGGAGGGGTTTTCGGGCGCTCATAGTAGTCGTCTAAGCTGCTATCCCAGTATTGGGCCATCCGTTCCAGTCCTGTCCAGAACTTCCTCGTCTGAGCCACACGGACCCTTTCCCGGCCCTCACGGGGAGGCAGTCTGCCCACCTCTCGGAAAGCATCGTCGTTGTCTAGAAGCAGTTCACTCTGGAGCACCTCAAATCGGTCCCGGGAGGGGTATGAATTTCCATTGTCCATTAGAATCGGACAGCCATCTTCATCCACCGGGGATGAGCGCGCTGACATGTTCTCCCACGGAAGCGGAGGGTCCGTCTTTGGTCCATTGTGGCGAACGATATCTGCAGCCGACACGTTCTCTTCCAGTCTTAGGTTCAGCGCCTCAAACTTCTGCGGGTTGATGTCCTGCGGTCGACGGATCGAGGCCAACACTTCATTCAGCCTTGACAGGGATGCATCGGGGTCCTTCTCGGAGAGTTCTGGCAGTTGATAGACGGGGAAAGCGAGTGGTGTGGGGGCGGGAGGAGGGCGGCGCTCTTTCTCGGGCTCTGAGCTCACGGAGGGCAGGCCTGCGTCAAGTGTCAGTACGAAAAAAGGTTATGTGAGCGCACTCTAGTAAGCCAAGCTGACAGGATGGGGGCTGTCGCCAATGCTCCAGAAGACGGTGTAGACATTCGGACAGGGAGCGACCGGTACGGGGCCCGTCTATCACACACCCGACCGAGCAGATAGATCCACGCCATTTTGCACGATTGATCGGGGCCCAAAGGAACAGACAAGAGGGGTGAGTGGCATGGAAGCAAGGGAAAGGCGACGGACAGTGCGGGGAAAGGGGCCTTACCCAAGGTGCTACACCAGCCAAACATGACGGCGTAAGTTGATCGCGAAAGCGAGAAACAAGCGGGAAACCGGACGGACTCTATTCGATGTGCCGGATAGCGAATCAATGGAGACTGCGGAACTGGTCGCGATGCGAAGCTCAGCACTAGGAGAAGGAGGAGGCGGAGGCGGAGTCGTACATCACATGCAATTGCGATGGGCTGAGGCGCGGTCGGTGGGGGTGAAAGAAGGTCGTACAAGTCCAGTTAATGATGGCCAGTCAGCGTTTAGTGACAGTGGAGCAGAGAGGAGAGGTTGGTGTTGGTTGTTGGTTGTCGGATGGTGGATGATGGATGGTGGATGGAATCAGGATAAGAATAATAATAATGGACGGATAAATGAGGGATGAATGGCGCCGGAGAGGGGAACCAATGCATTAAAAATAACAGGCCAGTGACTACTAGGGCCACTAGTGAAGAAGTAGCCTGACAGCTCGGGCTTCAGTCCCCCGTCCGGTGGAGTTGGACCCATTCTCGCCTTGGTCACTCTTCACATCGTCTGGGAGCAAGAATGTACAACAGACCAACTGCGTAACAGAAGTACTCCGGATGGAGGACAGACTCCCAGATTTGCCTCGTTCTCCCGCCGTTCCTCTCTTCGCCCCGGCCCATTTATGCGGGGAACCCACCAAAGGCACAACCACCATCAACCATGGCTGCCCAGGGTGCTCCCATTCTTGGGCGCCTCAGAACCCAGATCCTACGTAAGTGATGGACAATTGACTCTGGTCCACCTCCCCATCTCATGATCGATCCACGCACCAACTCCGGGGTCGATTGGGCTGATCCCTGGACATGGCTCAAATTCCCGCAGTGGCAATCCTCCCCGGTTCTGTGTCCCCTGTTTCGGTCTGGCACCCAGTCATTGACTCCGAGTCCCTTATACTTTGCTAGATACCATTCTAGATACTCTATATAGTACATCATACATTAGTATGTACATTGTGAACAACCACCCCAGCCCGTTGGACGATGGAGATTAGGATGTGGCAACTGGCAAATCCGCCCGAAAGATGGGCCGTCCCCATCCGGCTAGCGCAGAGTTACTCAGCAGACACATGATCTCACTAGAGTGAAACCGGTCTAGCGGTGGCTGCCCCCAAAGCGTACTAGTGGTCCCACTGTGCTGCATCGCCAGCCAATGGCCACCAGCCAATGGCAACGGCGTCCCGTGCCGTGGCTTTTCCGCTGGCTTTCATCCTCCATCCTCTTCTCTCTTCCTCCATTGTTCATGGTTGTTCATGGCAGTTCATTGTGGTTCATTGCGGTTCACTGCTGTTTCTCTGCCCAATGAGCCATCCACTGTTTCTTTAATGTGGCATACTGCAGTTTCATCAGCTTACTCCCCAGTTCCCTTCCAGGCAGATGCTGACCATGGTGGCTTCCAGGACCGTTGCTCAATGCGAGGGGCGAGGGGCCTAAACCCCTCTCCGGCCAGCGACTAATGCCGGCCAGCAACATCCTCAGAACGGTCTCTGCACTGCGGATTGGATGTTCTGGAGCCCTGCGGTTTCATCCAGTCCCCCCCAAGGGTAACAATCTCTTCCAACCCCCTGCTTCCTTTCGTCACAGCCGGTTCGTCGGTCCACTGGTCCCTACACAGTCCCGGCGCCTGGCCAAACACTGCAGCGCTGCTCTTGTTTGTCTCCGAACCACCCTGGTCCTCTTTCTTCTCCCAGACCCCTGTTCTTCACAGCCTCTTCTTCCATAGCTTCTTCAATCTATCTGAATCTCTTGGGTCTTCACGTGTGATCGGAATCTCACGCCTTTTTCGCCCTCTGCTTCACCATCCTATCCTGAAACAGGTGTACTTCCCGGGCTGATCGCCTCTGACATCGGCTGTCATGGCCTGCCTGTCTCCTCCCGGTAGAGAACACCAGCAATGAGACGACCTTAGCATGTTTGTATCTGCTTTTTTTGATCGTATCCCCGGCCTCCGTTTGTTCACTCCTTCCATTTCAACGTGAGCCCGCCATTCACTACTACCCACGAAGTACTACCATCGCCCCGGCGCCCCCGCTCTTTACGCGCCTTCGGCCTCAAATCCAGGGATTCCCTCTTTCTTTCATCATACCTGGTCTTCATGCAGCACACGTTCCTCTCTGAATCCCTTTTTTGATCCAACGGAGTCACGTCCTCCAGCCTGCGGGCTTGGCGACATGTCAATGTCGAGCTCTTCCATCCTCCTCCGTCAGAGTTCTTCCAGATGTACTACTAAAATTCCACGACCCTCCAACCTAGTCGTGTCTTCAGCCTCTTCCTTGATCTCCAGTTCTACCTTCACCTCTGCCGTGTCCCAGCCCGCAGTCATTACTTCGGGCCCTACGTCTTCAACCGAGACCTCATTCCCAAGCGAGCGCTCTGCGTCAGACACATGGCATTCCCTAGCGTTGGTACTTTCCACGGATGCTGCAAGTACACTGGCGCCACAGCCACCTGTTAGTAACCCGGTGGCCGTTCCGACAACCACTGCATCCAGTACACTAGGAAAGCCCAGCAACTACAATCTGATACATACGGAGGACGGCGCTCATGCTCATATGCTGGTGTCGTCGCGGACTAGTATATCAAGTCATGAAACACAAGTATCAACGCCAGCGTCTTCTGTCTATCTGCCGAGTCCCGCAATTTCAGAGGCGTCGGCAACACCGACTTTACACAGCCTGCAATCTCTCGTTGCACAGTCAACGGCTACCAGCGCTACCGCCTCTGCTAATAGCTCCTCGCAAGGCCATCTAGATCAATCTAACCATAGCGACCACGCCCCACTCCGCACGATCTTGGGCAGCGTCCTAGGTGGGGTCGCATTCATTGCTCTGGCACTCGCGATAGGCTACTTTGTGATGCGACATAAGCGGCGCGATCCCCGAGGTGGCTTGAGCACGGGCACGAGCGAAGAGCACTTGCAAAATGAAGGTGAGCCGGCTGCTCCCTCAGGTGGCTCGCTTCCAGGGTATCAGTCGGGAGGATCTTTTCTTTCCGTCGCTTCGACTACTCCTTCAAGCCCTCTACGCGTTGCCCTTGCAGCTCCAAACTCGGTAAACGGTCACCACCACAGTCGCACCCTGTCTAGTTTGAATCTCGTTTCCAACCCAAACCCTTTCCTGGACTCTGCGGAAGTCAAGTATGTCTCGCGTGGGAGCATGCGTAGCATCGCAGGGGCGCTTCGCAATCCGTTTGCCGATGTAGCTCCAAGCCACAGCCATGTCACCATGCAACAATCCGAGATGTCACAACGACCTACATCGGCTGCCTGGTATTCTATGCACAGCGATCGCAGCTTGGGCAGCACGCTCCTTCTCCCAGGGCGGAGTAGCGCGGGGAGCAGCCTGCAGAGACTCAGCTACCCGTTCACTGCCGCCGAACTCGAGACTTGCGATCCCAGCGGACCGGTAGCCAGACTCAGCACCCGAAGTGATCCGTTCGACTTGGAATGCCCTCCGCACGCGATGCACAGACGTAGTTCGACTGCCATACCATTAGGACAAGTCTGATTCTGATGAGACGCCAGCCGTTTGCCACCTCAATCTAACAGCATACTGTTCTTTTCTACACACGAGACACGTGATATGAGCTACAATGTTTTACAAGGTATTCCTGTTCCAGGATTGAAGCGGAAGACAGACCATCTTCGCATGGAAGTACTTGTATTCTAGATATGATCCCGTTGGCACAGGCCATCATGTTGTATGTGTGTACGATACTGTATTTCTGGCGCTGAACCAATGAATACTTGTTATATCTAACCCACTACCTTGTAATTGATATCATCGAATAAAGGAGAAGAATAGATGGTGTTTCTATTCCTACAAACACAACAAGACATTCAAATTGTGGATACTGTAGCGCCTACCGAAAATAATATATATCAGCGGATTTTCCCCACCACCCCGGCCTTAAACCCAATCTAGCGACTACTACTCAGCGAGTGATACCTATAAACACTGACTCTACACCTGTTTTCACCTCGTCCGATCCCGTAAAGAATAATATATAATAATTGTAAGTAGTGTTATTGATCGTCGAGATACACGAGACATGACGAACAGGAGTGTGAAGCGAAAGTTGTTTTTATAAAATATCAAGGACATGATGAAAGAGACCAGGGAGGAGACGAGTCCAGCTAAGGAATGGAATATAAGTATATATAAATTGAGAGACAGAGAGAAAGGGAGAAGCCATATGGAAATGAAGGGAGTAGAAGGGACGAGAGGAAACAACCCAGGTGGCATAATCACTGGGCATGTGGTTCACTCCGCCTTGAGAAGAGTGGGGATAGATCAATATGATTCGAAGAATTCGGTCAAACAAACCGGGGAAGGAGGGGTCGTTTCACTTGACGTAATATGGTATGACAAGGCCAGCGGAACTACAAATCTAGACCATTACAAGCACCCGAGAACCCCTCAAATGATATTCAGGACGCATTACGGCATTAAACTGCTGAAGGCTTGAGGGAGCAGAGGGAGACCGCAGAAGATCCAGGCGCGAGATGGGTGGATGGATTGGGATGCACGGCGGAGGAAAAAAAAGAAAGAGATAATCAAATGGAAATTTCGTATCACACAAAGCGCCATGCCATTGTTTTGCTTTAAGAGTAGGTCTTTTTCCTTTTTTGCGTGGTCCTTTCACAAGCCCTCCCCCGAGGGAGAGGGACGGGGATGATGATGATGGTGCATGTCCCTGATCCCGAACCCCGTTCCAGGCTCCCGATACGATCCAAACAACCCGTCCCGGATGAATCGAGCCACCGAGCCAGACCTGCAACGAACACGGAGTGGTCGATCTCAGTCCGTGGGCTGATCGATTCCCCCCCGTTTCAACCTCCGCACCGCCCAAGTTCGTCAACAGAGGAAATTTACTCCTGAGCCTCAGCAACAAGGGCGTTCTGCTTGGCCTCCTTGCGCTCCGCGCGTCTCTCACGGAGAGCCTTGTTCTTGGCACGCTTAGCATCCATCTCCTCCTTGAGGACACGCTCACGGTGGCGCTCGGCCTTGGCCTTCTGGATCTGTAGTACGGAAGATATCACGTTAGCCCCTATTTCCTAACCCAGGGGGTGACCGGTCGGATCCCGGGAAGCCTGATCGGCGAGGCGATTCCAAACCCCCACGGGATCCCGTTCAACAGCAGCAGCAGGCGGAACTTACGTGCTCAACGAGGGCACGCTTGTGCTTGAAGGTGTTACCCTTGCTCAGGTGGTAGAGCTCGTGGTAAAGGTGCTTGTCGATCTTGCCGGAGGCACGGTAGCGGACGAGCAGGCGACGGAGAACACGCATGCGGCGCATCCAGAGGATCTGGCTTTAATCGGATATCCATCAGCACGCATCCCCGGAAGTGGTTTCCGAACTCCATCTCGATCCTAGGCGTGGTGGTGGCCGAATGACAAAAAAAAAATCCTTGCACAACACTCAGAGGGAAAGACAATGAGCATACCTGGGCATACGAGCCTCCTTGGTACCCTTGCGCTTACCCAGACCACGGTGTCTGCCGATTCTGCGGGCGGCGGCAAGCTCACGGGCACGGGAGCGGGAGTGCATGGTGACGGGCTTGCGGATGATGAGGCCATCGCTGACGAGCTTGCGGATGGTCTGGCGGGAGTTGGCGTTGGAGATCTCATTCATCTCATTGGGGTCGAGCCAAATCTTGCGCTTGCCGCAGCCCACCACGGAGGCGGCGAGGCGCTTCTGGGTGCGAAGGTTGACCCTGTGGTGCAAAAGCAGTCGGTCAGCATGAGGTCCAAACCGATCGGGGGGCTGCTTCGACAGAGAAAAGCGCCTGGTGGGCGACTCCGGGGCGTAGAGGGGGGGAAACGAGTCCAGCGACGGACGGGCATCCCCCTTCGAGCAGCAATATCAAGAACTGGAGATGAACTCACATCTTGATGTCGGCGTATCGACGGTCGTTGGCGGATGATGTTCGTTGCACTCGTCGACGGGTAGAATTCCCAGGTGAGGAGTTTGAGATACGGCGGCTGATTAGCTAAGCCTGTTGTGCTGCTAAGCGAGCCCAGCAAAACCCTCCTTAGGGTTCGTGCCCCAGACGCTTGTCCCGATCCGGGGAACGCGCCCGGAGCCGCAACGCCCGCCCGCTGGCATTGCCCGCGCCGGACGACGCTGTCTGGCCTGGAGATTCATCTAATTCCATCTCGGCAACCCTCGCCGTTGTTCTGCCCATCCAGTGCGCATCTTCCCTTCGCTCCGGCGCGTGGTGGTGGTCGGGCGGACGCCGTCACGGATCCCCCCACGTGATCTCCGGCCGGCAACGCATGGATGAATGACGGAGACCGGCCCAGCCCGACCAATCATCGATCAGCTACCGCCCTAAGCATTCGGGTATATCTAGACTTTGGACAACACCAACGAACTTCAAACTAACAAACAAGAACATCAAACAATGCATTGGTCATCTCATATCAACATGCTTTTCGGCTTTCAAAACTGGCCCCACTTCACAGAAGGTTATACCTAGCAGAGAGATCTAATTCATCCAGCGCGTAGACCACTCACTCATCCCCAAACGCCCCCTCCCCGAGATCAACCTTTCCAATGCTCCACAATTCCTTCTCGTCTTCAACCTCATCATTGGACAAACCCAGTCCTCCTTGTCCACCTTCCGCTTCCTTGCGCTCCCGGGCCTGCGCGGCGAGACGTAGCGCGACACGCTTGAAGTAATCTGACATGCTCCGCTTGGGTCCGGGGGGAAGCGCAGCTCCGGGGCCAGCCATGTACTTCTCGAACACGGCGCCCTCGGACTCCTCCACCGAGAAGATTGCCAAAAATGCAGCCTCGGCCGCCAGCTTGACCGGGATGACCACGTCGCGAACGCTGGCAAAAATCGGGGGCGCCAGGAGGGCCAGATGAGGCCGAGTCAACTCGGGGTGCAGACGGCTGACCGTGCGCATGACCACCAGAGTCAACCGCCGCGTGTCAGAGGGCGTGCCGGGCTGAATGCAAGGCGCCAAGGCCTCGAAAATGGCCTTGTTGACCTCGAAGTTGCGATGCTCATCCTCAATCAGGAGATACTTTCCGGCGGCGAGGACGCTGTTGTCGGCGATAAAGGGCTGCCTAGCATTAGTATCATCCATCCACCCCATACAGCGACGAATTACTTACATCCTTGTTCGTGACTCCCTGGCAGATGACGGCCTGGGCCTCAGCAGAGAAATGTTCCGTCACCGACGACGGCGACTCCACAAGCAGGGCATTGAGTCCCAGAATCGATGCGTGAGAAGCCGTAGCCGTCAGGACCCGGTTCTTGATAAGGGGACCCGCAGTGGTAGCCGGAAGAACCTTCACCAGTGCACCGAGCAATTTGGCGTTCGTGATAGCGACAGCATCCGTTTGGTCGCTGGCGTCGTCGTCAATGAGAGCGAGGATGGCGTTCTTCGATGTCTCACTCATGTTAGCGCCGGCCTTGCCCACCACCTCCTGTAGGGCCTTCATCATGGCGTTCCGGACACCAATGTCGGTGGTCTTGGTACCCGTGATGAGTTCCGCAATCAGAGGATCGACCCTAGGAGTCAAGGTGATCAGGATACCAAGACCCTTGGCAGCCCGGTTACGAAGAGTCTCGCTAGACGCATCGGCCAGACCGCGGGCGAAGGTGCGCTGGAGCTGTGGCAGGAATGGTTTGACAGCGAGCGGGATCTTCTCCAGGAGCTTGTTGAGGGTGAAGAAGATAGCGCCTAGTGCAATGAATCAGTATCACGTAGTAGTCAGTCGGGTAGAAAGTAGCTTACATTTGATATCCACCGACCGTTCGGACACGACACGGATAAGCGGACCAGTGATCTGGGTCACGAACAGCTTCAGAGAGTCTGCGCCAGTGCGGTCGATGATGTCGCCGAGCGCGAGAGCGGCCTGCGTACGCTGCTCGACGCTGCCGTTCAGAAGACCTTGCAAGAAGATGGGCAGAATGGCCGTGATACCCTTGGGCAGACTGAAACCGGGAAGGTTGGCACCCGGGACTCCAACACTCCGCAAGACCTGGCGAGTGGGGATGGTAAGCACCTCCATCTCTTCCTTGCGCAGATGGGACGTGAGCCCACTCAGCGCCGTCCACGCTGCCTTGACGACATTCTTGTCGCTGTCATCGAAGGAAATGAGCAAGATGCGGATCAGATCTTGATGGTATCTGGAGTAATCGATCTCAGCCGTGGCGAAGAATTTGCTGAGATGCATGGCCGCGTTGGCACGACGGTGATGGTCATCATGCTTCATCATGGTGATCATGACGTTCACCATGGCATTGAGGCCGTCGAACTCATCCACCGATACCAGGATTGTGTCGAACGCACTGCTCAATTCTTCGCGGTGAGCCTCGTCCTTAGTAGACACGATCTCGTCCATCAAGGAGTTGAGGATGGTGGGCAGTCGGCGGGTCATAGCAGAGCCTGCCACCTCGGCCAGGGAAGCAAGGGCCCTGGCGTTGAAGGTGGAGATAGGAGAGGTGAGAAGAGTCGGGATAAGGTTGGGAAGGATAATGTTCGCTCGGGTTTGCTCGGTGAGCAGAGTCAAGAGTGCCGACAGTGCTTGCTCCGCGTCCTCGTTGTTTCTCAAAAGAAGCAAGAGATGGGGCAGGACTTGATCCACTGCCTTCTTGCCCAGGATTTGCTGCAAAGCGTCGAAGGCTTCGGCGGCAGCCTCACGGACGTCCTCATCGTTGTCAACGAGGGCCACCCGGACCGTCGAGATAAGGATCTTCTCGTAATCTTCAAGGGCCTCGGTGGATGCGGAATTAATAAGCTCTCTCAAAGCAATGCAGATACCTTGCTTGACATCCACATCGGGCGAAGTCTGCAGACCATCCTCGAGAGAAGGCAGCAAAGTCGCGAGAACAGACTCGCCAGCCTTCTTGATGAGATCTCCAAGCGCGTTGCTAGCGATAACCTTGTGCTCCATGTTGGAGGAACCGAGGCGGCGGATGATGAGCTGAGACAGAGTGGGAACCATGTCCTTGAGAGTCTTGGGGGAAGCAACAAGCGCCTTCCAGACACCCATAGCAGCGCTCTTGACGAGACCCGAAGTATCGCAGCGGCAGATAAACAACGCAGACAAGACCTTGTTCCTCCTCTCCTCTCCGAGAACCTCGAGCAGCGACTGTCCAGCTTGAGCAGCCTCCTCCTCCTCCTCTTCCGCGTCGGCCTTGGCGGTGATGCCAGTAAGGCTGAAGAGCAGGTCGCCAACCAACTCAACGGAACTCAATCTGATGCGGTAACTATCATCCGCAAGACCGCGTTCAAGCTCAGGCAGAAGGAGATCAATGGCCTTGGAGGAGAAGTTCTTAACTAGCAAACGACCTGCCTTGAGAGAGGTTTCGCGAATGGACTCAACATCATCAGCCAAACCAGCAAGGATAGGGGGGATGATTTTGCTGAGATAGGAGGCGAAGCTGTTTCCGAAACAGGCGGGCAGGAAGATGAAGAGCGTCATGAAACCTTCCCGAACCGCGGGCTTGGAGCTGGACACGTTCTGCAAGATGGTAGGCAGCGTCTCCTCGAGTCGGGTTGTACCCAGGCCTGCCAGAACCTCCGAAAGGGCTTGAGCAGATCCCAGTCTGTCGCCAGCTCCGGTATCCGACTTGAGCGTAGACATGAGGTTGGGGATAAGGTCGGGAAGAGCATCCTCTCCGAGCTTCTCGATAAGGGAACCAAGAGCCTTGGAAGCGGTTGCACGAGTGGTGGGCACAGGATCAACGATAGCCAACTGCAAGCCAGAAACGATGATCGGCAGGTGGGAAATGAGATCCTTGCGCTCAGTAAGGTGGGCCAAGCTGCCAATGATCTGAGCGGATTTACGTTTCGTGTTCGATCTATCGCTAAGACCACGCTCAAGGATACGAACAACAAGCGCCAAGGACGGAGCATCCAGATAATGGACAAAGGACACCTTGATGAGGGAATCCAGGGCCTCGTCGGTGTACTTCGTCGGATCGCTCAGCGCCTTCAGAAGCACGTTCACCAAGCTCTTCACTTCAGGGTTGCTGATGACTTCACCGAAACGCTGGAGACTCCGGTTTGCCGCATTGCGCACTTCTTTGTGCGTGTCGTTGAGGACCACAGTGAGCGGAGGAATAATGTCCGGAAGGCTTGCCGCCAGTTGCTGAGGGTCAAGGTAGGCCATCGCTCCCAGGAGATCGCAGGCTCCCTTCTGACTGCGCCATTGCGTGTCATCAAGACCATCCAACAGGGTGGGGAGAATATTCTTAACACCGTAAGAGCTGAGGTTCGAGAAGCAAGCCTTTGCTGCATCAAGACAGGCCGCGCGCACATCTGGGTTAACATCTCCAAACCCGGCAAGGAGCTGGGGAACGATCTGAATAACATAAGGCTCGAAAGTCCGTCCCAGAATGGTGGCAAATAGCTCGTATGCCAACAAGGCACCCTGCCTCTGATGGGGCTCCTTCTTGTTCTCAGTGGCGTCATGCAGGTGTGCCATGACCTGGAACTCCCGTAGTGTGATGATACCTCGGCCGCTGACGATACCACCAAGTCCGTAAGCCGCACCACGCTGTGTAGCATACTTCTTCGACTGTAACAGCTGGTCCAGCATTTCCTTAACGTACTGGCCACTTTGAGGGCGAGAGAGTCGGATCAGAGGCGGTAGACATCCAGACACGGCCGACTGCACCGTTTCTGAAGGGGTAGGGAGAGTGTCGAGAAGTCGCTTGATGACCGTCTGCAAGCGCGGGTCGTCCGCTTTCAGATGCTGCGCCAACGATCCATACAGAACCACCACCGCCTCATTGAGGAGGTCAGACGTCTCACTGCCCTTGTCGGAAGTCTCCAGGGTTGTCTCCAGGAGTACCATCAATTCCTCAACCTTCTGCTGACCGCGGGCAGCGATAACGGATCTGCCGCTCTCGGCCATCTGTGCTCGGACGGTGGGACTCTTGTCGATGAGCGGTCCCCTTTCGATAAGGAATCGGAGGAAGGCAACGATTTGCTCGCCTTCAAAGAGCTCCGTCATAGCACCAAAAGCGAGGGCAATGCCGCTGCGTAGCTCCCAGTGGTCCGTCATATCCATCTTCTTGGGCATTCCGTAGCTGTCCTTCTCGGGCACCTTAGGCTGAATCTCGACGGTGTATTTCGACTGTAGCTCGGCGAAGATGTCGTTAAACACTGATGGGTTCGTCGCAATTGCATGCGCCAACGCGCGGGCGGCAGCACCCCGGAGCTGCGAATCCTTTGAGGAGAGGTACGGAATGATCTTTCCATAAGAAGAGTCGTCGATTTCCAGAGCGTTCTCCTCCCAGATATTCTCGGCGATTTCAGCGTTCTCTTCCACGTGGTCATGGCATTCCAGCCAGATGTGTTCAGAAAAGTCGAGGTCGGTCAGGTCAATCTCTGCTTCGATGACCTGCAACACCGAAGTACGAACCGACACGTCCGCAACGATCGTGCCCTTGAGAAGGATTTCCAGCTCGTCCTTGGTGATGTTCGGTGAGATGCACCGGCTGAAGTCGAAGAGGGTATCTTTAATAAGCTTGTAGTGTTGAGTGTACTTCTGCATCGATGCAAGCAGGCTATTCAGAACTTCGACTCGAGGAAGGCGTTCGTCGGCAACTAGACACTCAATAGTCAGCGTTGATGCCGGATACACGAGAGTGACAGGTTTACTCACAGGAGCCCGAATGGAAGGACAAAATTTCCAGGGCAAGGAGAACTTGCTCGCCCTCCTCCTCTCCTCTTTGCTCATCAATTCCGTTCCGGCGGAGCACCAAGAAAAGCAAGGGCAGAACGTAGGCCAGAGACGTGCCGTCAAGAGGGCGTTGCTCGGAGGCGAAGCGCACCCGATAAAGAATCCTGGTTACAAGCTCTGCAGACTAGTTAGTACATATTTCTCGCCCAGTTGAACAGAGAAAAACCTACGTCCAAGAGGCTCTGCTTCCATTTCCTGAGGCAAAAGACTCTTGCCAATTGCACGCAGCGTTGCAATACCCACGAAAGGCCGCAGCGGGCCAAGACGTGAGGACAGCTTCTCGGCACACTTGATGTACGCCTTCGATACAACATCCCCAGCGAACAAGCCTGCACCAGCTTCGGTCAGAGAGAGCAAGGAGCTCACAGCGGGGTTGATCCAGCCATCCGCATCAATAGCGGGTCCGTCCGCAAGACCCTGAATGATCCCACATCCGCGTTCAATCCGCTTGATTTCTTGGAGGACTTCCTCACGGATCTTGGACTCCTTGGCAAGCTGGGCCTTGACCTTCGACTGCTCCTCCGCAGTAAGCTTCTTCTGCTTTTGGCCCTGCTTATCACCCAACTGTGCCCGTAGTTCCTCCTCCCATTTGAGAATGTCATAGTCTTTGGTGTTCTTATCGAAATTGGACTGCTTCGATTTTGTGCTGAGAACATCAACAAACATGGTTCCCTCTGGGGTTCGAGCAATAGCGACATCGGTAGCCGTGAATTTGGATGACCGCGAAGTGTTCAGGTCGTCTTGGATTTGGCTCACAAGTCGAGGAACCATAGCGTCAGGCGCCACAAATGCCAATTCGCCGGCAGCACTCCAAATTGCAGCATCGATTTGGGGCACCTTCGACTGAACAGGGTCCTGAAAAATAGTCAGTGGGCGGATTTCAATGGATGTGTAGTGAATGTAAGAACGCGACATACCTCATGCAAGCGAGTCAGCTGCTCCACGCACTTCTCAGGAAATTCGCGCACAAGGTCACCGGGGTCTGTGCCAGTTCTCAGGCAAGAGGAGATCCACGACGCGTTGGGAATCAATTCGGGACGGCAAAGGACCAGCAGCTCAACGAGCTGGGTTTTCAGATCCACGGCGACGTTGTCCAGCCCCTGCAGACTAGAAGCAGAGGGGCAAAGTGCCTTTACAACGAGATGAAGGAACCTTTCACTTTCGGGTCCTGCAGAGACTGGTGCAGATTCCTTCTCACCAGTTCTAAAGGAAAGTATCCAGGACCATAGCGCATTTATAACCATCCGGCTTATGCTTCCCACATTCTTCAGGTGAACCTCTGACAAGGTACGGGCAGCTTCATCCCGGAAACTGGTGTGAAGTCCGGGGACAACGATATTATATATAGCTGCCTGAGCCCACGCGGTCTTGGCTGCATCCTCGGCCTTTTCGAACTTGGAACCAGTGGTGACGGCAGAAAGTGCCCGCACAGCCCACTGAATCTCCGCTTGAGAAGTCAACTTGGAGTACGCCTTCGGGTTCAGGAGGAACGATGGTTTTGGGCTGAGCACCATCGATTGTGCCACAGTTTCCTCCCACGCAGACTTGTCCAAGCTCTGCAATGTGGAAGAGCGCTGCAAAAGGGCTAGATATACATGGGCCGTCGACAGGGTGCCGGCCTGAGCAGATGGCAGGGGGTTGGAAGCAACCTCATTGTACAACTCTTTCATCTTGTTGAGGAACTTGTTCACAAGGGGCTCGACCTCGGAGCTTGCCAGCGTGGAAGGTTCGACTTCCCACATCACATCGCTGATATTGAGCTGCCAGAGCTTTTTGAATGGCACACGCTTGTCGGAAGATCCTTTCACAATTGCATTGATGACGTCGTCGCTGACCTTCACCTGAGACTGCACAAGGAAAGCCAGATGCTTGCAGAAGGACTTGATTTCCTGCTCCAGAGCGGCCTCGTTCGATTCTCGTGAAAAGAGAGGGACAAACCCCTGGACTACGTCCTTCGACAGGTCGACCGAAGGCGTTATCGCAGCGACCGCTTGAGCGTACACGGCACGTTGTTCCGGGTTGGTGATCTTCTGGGTCTTCAGAGGGCCGACAACTTCACTAGTAACCTTGAGGAGCAAGCCCTGGTCCTTGGACTTCAAGAGCAGGGACTCAAACGAGCGAACGGCACCCTGTCTGATAGCTGGGTTGTTCGACTTCATGCTTGAGAGCAGGTGCTTCAACAGCCGCGAGTGCAGCAGTTCGGACATGTCAATCTCATCCGGCAGCGAAGCGCACAGCGAAGACAGCAAGCCACCGCAGATGACTTCGGGGGAGCGAAGCATAGCCTTTTCGAAGGGCGGTATCAACTCGGAAGCGAGGTCTTCGTAGCTCAGGAAGGATACGAAGAAGTCGCCCAATGCATCCGCAATGTGAGCTGGCGGTGCAGATTTGGAGCCAGCCAACTCCTTGACATAGTACGACAGGATCGCCTTCTTCTCCCCCTCCAAGACAGGCTTCTTGGTAGGGAGACGCGCGCAGACGCCGGAGATGACGCCGAGGAAAGGTGCGTTCTTCTGTCCGGTCGTCGAGTCGCCGGTCAACCGGCGGACGGACTCACGAACAGCATCCTCACCCCAAGCAGCAGCGGAGAATGTAGCCCGCAGGGCACGTCTTGTAACCCGGAGGGCAGACGCCTTCACCGCCGGCTTGGGGTTAGCGGCCAGACAGATATCCAGAGCCTTTGCATCGACCGCAATGGTGTCCAGGACGGCAGGAAGCGGCGTCTCGGAGTCTTCCGCCAAGATCTGAAGGACAATTGAGCACCATTCCAGCAGCACGAGAGCAGGACCTTGCGCCAGAGCGGGTTTAGCGGCCTCCACCTGTAGCTTCTGGGTGAGGTATTTCAGATCGTCGGTCGGGACGGGGGCCTTGAGAAGCGAACGGAGACATTGCTGGACGGCCTGACGAGAGGGACGATCGACGTAACGGGGGCATGTTTTGAACAGAAGCCCGATCAGAGGCTGATGGGTTTGGGGGGGTAAGCTGGACCCTACGGACGACAGACGGTGAGCATGAGGTGGGAGCGCGGTGGGAGAGAGGGGCTGGACAGGCTGGAATCTCACGTACCGATTCGATCACGGAGGTCCTGGAGAGCGCGGATTCTGCGAGCGGTCGAGCTGGAGAAGAGCACGACCTGCAGACTCTCCAGGTCCCCTGATTCCACCTGATCCCATGGAAAATCGTCCATGTTAGGTGGCCTGAAGCATGCTCGGCGTGAGGAGGAGGAGCAATGGGCACGAATGGGGCCGCGGATGTTGTCATAAAAGTTTTGCGGCGTTGTGGGGGGGGAGCTCCGCCGCCTTCACCTTGCAAGGGCCCGCCGTGCGATCCGACTGACTTAGCCTTCCGTCCACTTCTTACTGACTCTCTTGTCCACTACACCTCCCTTCGCCTTGACTTTCTCGCTCGCAAATTCCCCCCGGCACCGTCTCGAGTCGCATTCCTGCCCGCCCGGACTGGAAACGATGCCCCCCAATAACCGCAAAAAGAAGAAGCCTGCCTCCAACCCGGCCCGCGGATTCGCAACGGTCTCAGTGCCCTCCAAACCCAAGGCCACGGAATCGCCAGCCCCGGCCTCCACCGCGGACTCGAAGTCAGTCTCGGAAAGTGACCGACCAACTCCCGTCGAGAGCAAGCCAGCTACAGTAGAACCCAAGACCGATGCCCCGTCATTACAGAACTATACCCCCGAGGAACTCGAGAGACACTTGGAGGAGGCCGAGCTCCAGCTCCTGGTGGAGAAATACGCCTCCAAATGCAGGAGTGATGCCTCTCGGCAGGTCACAAAACTGGAGACGGAACGGAGGGTACTCCGCCAACAGGCCGCGCCGATCAATCTCCTCGAGTGGTTTCCCACCGAGGTGTTGGCCTCCATCTTGAGCCTGGCCGAGACAGAGGAGCGAGAGCTCAGTCCCCTACCTGGACGGGATGCCGGGGGGCAGAAGAAGCCCCTCTCCGAGGAAGACCTGTATATGAGATTATGGACGCTCCAGGAGACCTTGCTTAAACTCGGCTTCCCTGACGCGAAAGTAAACGAGTCTTTGAAGCATCTCCTGCTTTACTTTTCTGGTAACTTTGCCACGACCAATAGGGAGGTGGTCTGCAACCTGGATGAGGCCCTGGACTGGCTTGCCATGCACTGCGACCCCAAGGAATTACCGTCTTACACGCAGACCAATGCACAACAGCGCAGCGAGTCGGATAAACACATTTCCTGGATAAATGGTAATCTTAGGTGCCTGGTACTGCGTAAAACCGGATGGCTAACCTGACTGACATCAGATCGTGAGCCATCACAATCCTCTTCCCCCAGTCGGGGCCCAGTTAATAGCAAAGTGAAAAAGCCCAAAAGCCCAGTAAAGGAGCCGAGCCCTGCTCTCCAGTCGAGTCCGTACGACTCGGACAGCTCCCTTGACCCTGACACGCTGGTCCCGAAGTACTTGGAGCTGCAAGCTCGTCTATATGGCCTGCGACCCGAGTTGTTCGACCAGCCCAAGAAGGGTAAGAAGGGAGGCCGTAAGCCTACTGGAGCCGACGTGCAAGATCCCCAGATCGCGAGGCTCCAGCGCAAAATTGCTAGCATTGAGAATGACGTACTGTTTGACCGTTATGAGGCCGAATACAAGTGGAGCGAGAAGCTTGACGACCTTCGGAAAGAGGCAGCTTTTGTTCGGCGCTCACAGCCCGCAGAGAAACCGGTTCCCGATGATGCTGGCAATCAAGAGCAACTGGACGAGAAGACGGCAGAGCCAGAGGACGCCATGCCGCTGCTCGACAACGAAGAGAACACTGACTTGCTAGGGGACATGTTCCAGGACGAAGAGCCGGTTCTGGAGATCGGCGTGATCACCGCGGAGTTAAATAAGGCTTCCATCAAGATCCGCGATTTTGGAAAGTGGACTGGACTGAGCCCCCGACGGGTGCTGGAGGAAACGTGCAAAGCCAGGTATGTCACGCTGGTGAGCTAGCGCTCAAGAGGCAACTAAGTGATCTGGGTAGGGATACGGGATGTAAGATCACATACAAGGACTTGTCGGCATCGTCGCATTCGAACCGGGCCGCCGTCGAAGTGCGATGGTCCAAACCCCAGGAGATCCCCTTCCCTTTCGTATGGGACGCCACCACACACAACTCGAACGCGTACGCAACCTTTGTCTCGATGGACGCGGTGGCAACGCCAACCTCCCAGCAAGCCGAATCCTTCGTCTCCACGCTTGCTCTTTTCATTCTTTTCGCTCAAAACTCCAAAGAGGGCAAGGCGTACCTGCGCCTTCCAGCAGTGTGGCGGGAGCTCTGGACCGAATTTGCCAATGCCAAAAAAGTCCAGGAAGATGAATCCGATAAGCAGGTGGTCAAGAACTTGAAGAAGCTGATACAGGACAACCACGGTGCCTTTGAAGACGACGTCGTCTTGTCGCATAATTTCCGGAAACGAAATGGAACTTCTAGCAAGCCGGAATCCCCGGTGCGCGGAGCTAACGCAAAGGATAACTCTGGCATTGATACTGAGTTGACTAGAATTTGGGCAGAAAAATCGGCCACTCCCTCATTCCAGCATATGGCTCAAGGCAGGATGAACCTGCCCATCTGGAACTTCCGGGACGAGATCCTTAGCACTCTCGACACCCACCGTGCGCTTATCATCTGCAGTGAGACCGGAAGTGGCAAGAGTACCCAGATTCCTTCATTCATCCTAGAGCATGAGATGCAGCAAGGCCGCCCGTGCAAGATCTACGTGACCGAGCCTCGTAGGATCTCCGCCATCTCTCTCGCCCGGAGAGTGAGCGAAGAACTGGGCGAGAACAAGAACGATGTAGGAACGGCCCGCTCGCTCATTGGCTTCGCGGTCAGGTTGGAGAGCAAAGTCAGCCAATCTACGAGACTCGTATTCGCGTATGTCTTCGCAACCGTGACCTTGGGCTTTGGCTGACCTGAGCAGGACTACTGGAGTGGTGGTGCGAATGCTGGAGCGCCCGGACGACTTCCGCGACATCACACACGTCGTTCTTGACGAGGTCCACGAGCGTTCTATTGATAGTGACTTCCTTCTCATTGTCCTTCGTCGCTTGATGCAAAGGAGGCCCGACCTGAAGCTGATCCTCATGTCGGCTACGCTCGAGGCCCAGCGCTTCTCCACTTATCTTGGTGGTGTTCCTGTGTTGAATATCCCCGGCCGGACTTTCCCCGTTGAGATGAAATTTCTGGAGGATGCCATCGAAATGACCAACTATCGGTTGCTAGAAAACGACCCCAATGCGATCGAGGAGGACTCGGACGAGTTGGCGTTGGACACGGCGCAGGGCGACACTGCCGGCGGTCTGTTGGCTTCGCTTGATGGGTATTCTAAGCAGACCCGGGAGACCGTGGTGAACTTTGATGAATACCGCCTGGACTACCAACTGATCAAGAGGCTGGTTGTCCAGATCGCTTCCGCGCCTGATATGATTGATTATAGCAAAGCCATCCTGATCTTTATGCCTGGTATGGCGGAGATTCGTCGTTTGAACGACGAAATTCTGTCGGACCCGACTTTCCAGAGAGGGTGGATTGTGCATGCTCTGCACTCATCCATCGCGAGCGAAGACCAGGAGAAGGCATTCGTTGTGCCCCCCGAGGGCATGAGGAAGATTGTGATCGCCACCAACATCGCCGAGACAGGTATGGTGCTCCTCTGAAGGATTTACAGTGTTCTAATATGTGCCAGGTATCACTATCCCGGATATCACCGCGGTCATTGACGCGGGCAAGGAAAAGAGCATGCGGTCAGTATCAAATTGCTTCCATGCGAACATGACTAATGAAGCCCAGGTTCGACGAGCGCCGTCAGCTCTCCAGGCTAGTCGAGACCTTCATCTCGCGGGCCAACGCGAAGCAGCGACGTGGACGAGCTGGACGTGTGCAGAATGGAATCTGCTTCCATCTGTTCACCAAGCATCGGCACGAGAAACTGGTATGACTGACGTCCTGACGGTAGCATCCTGATACTGACCAGCTGTAGCTCGCCGAACAGCAGACACCAGAGATGCTCCGGCTGTCCCTTCAAGACCTCGTGCTGCGGGTCAAGATTTGCAAGCTGGGAGAAGTGGAACCAACGCTGCTGGAGGCTCTCGACCCGCCCTCATCCAAGAACATCCGCCGGGCGATCGACTCCCTGAAGGAAGTGAAAGCCCTGACGAACGCGGAGAATTTGACCCCTCTCGGACTGCAGCTGGCCAAGTTGCCGCTGGACGTCTTCCTCGGCAAGTTGATTATCCACGGAGCTTTCTTCCGCTGCCTGGATGCGGCCGTCAGCATCGCCGCCATTCTCTCCTCCAAATCGCCCTTTGTCAACACCATGGGCTCCAACACACAGAAGGACCTGGCCCGGCTGTCCTTCCGAACGGGTATCGATCCTCTCCTCACTCTCAGACGTGTCACAACTAAACCACAGCCAGGTGACTCGGATCTTCTGACCGTGTACAACGCCTACTGCGCCTGGAAGCGCGCCCGGAACACCCCGGGCGTGAGCGAATACGCATTTTGCCGGAAGAATTTCCTCAGTTCGCAGACGCTCCTCAACATCGAGGACATCAAGATGCAGCTGATCGTCTCCATCGCCGACACGGGTCTGTTAACCCTGGATCCCGCCCAGAAAACCCTCCTCAACAGGTGCGCCCTCTTGTCCTTCCCTCCCTCAGGACCCCCGACTAACCTCATTCAAGATCCCGCTCCAACAACCGCTCGCGCAACTTCTTCGCAATCCCCGAAGAATATGACTACAACAGTGCCAACGAAATCGTCGTGAACTCCGTTGTCGCCTGGAGTTTCTACCCGAAACTGCTCACGCGCGATGGCAAAGGCTGGCGCAATGTGGCCAACAACCAATCCGTGACCCTGCACCCCACCTCCGTCAACAAACAGGCAGACTCCTCCATGAAATGGCTCTCATACTACCACATCATGCAGGGTCGCAACAAGAACTACAATGCCTTCGAAACCACGGCCGTCGATGACTTTGCCATTGCCTTGTTGTGCGGCGAAGCTGAATTCAAGGTACGCCTCCTGTTTCCTCTACCTTCTATCACTCCTCTCCCCCGTCCCTTCCCTATCCCTCCTCCGTACATCAACTAACACAAACCACCCCAAAGATGTACTCCGGCATCATCTCCATCGACTCCAACCGCATCCGCTTCTCCACCCGCGACTGGAAATCCATGCTAGCCCTGAAAACCCTAAGTGCCCGCATCCGCGACATCCTACAATCGACCTTCCGCGAACCCCACCGCGTCCCTTCCTACAAACAGCAACAGTGGATTGATCTCTGGCAGACGATTTTCGCCCAGGCCCAGGCCGCGAAGAAATAACGCTGTGACATGACAGTGTCTTGGCTTGGCTTGGCTTTGATTTTTTGGGTTGGGTTGGTTTTGTGCTTTGGGTTGGTTGGCTGGTTGATTGCGTGGTATTTGGTCTAACTGGATACGGGATATTGGATTGGAATTCTGGGTTCTGGGTTCTGGGTCAGTTGGATTGGATTGGACTGGATTCGATCATTTTTGGCTGGGTTGTTTGTGGTTGTTGGGTCGGTATGCATGGATGAACGATGGGTTCGGTGGCTCTCGTTTTACTTTTCGTTTCGTGTCTTTTCTTTCGCGCTAGAGTGTGTTTGTACTTATACATGGCTGGATGCATAGATGCCTAGGAGCATGGATGGATGTACATGGTATATGATGTGGTATGTGATCGTTATGGCATTGCTCAAGAGATGTGTGATGTAAGATACCATTGACTTCGGTCATGATCGTTGACTCGGATCACAGGTGAGAAAACTACCCCCACACATCCTCCTGCCACTTCCCGCGCTTCTTGAACGCCTTACTCCAGTCGTTCCATTGACTAGCACTCCATCCCTTGGTCTGCTGCATCGCCTGTCCGACCGTCTTCTCCACGTCGCGGGCCATTCCGGCCCGACCGCAGATGTACAGGTTGGCGCCCTCGTCGAGGAGTCGGATCACGTCGTTGCCGCATTCGGCGATGCGGTCCTGGACGTACTGCCGCGGTGTGCCTGCCTGCCGGGAGAAGGCCGTCACGATGCGCAGTCGGTCGCCGAGGGCCGCTTGAAGTTCGGCGAGCTCGTCCCGGTAGATGTAGTCCTCATCGGGACGGCGACAGCCGAAGAACAGGATCATTTCGCCGACGTCCCGGCCGATCTGTTGCAGCTGGCGCCGCTCGGAGATGAAGGCCCGGAAGGGGGCAAGACCCGTGCCGGCGGCGACCATGATGAGGGGACAGCTGCCTACCCGCGGCAGCTTGAACTTGCTCTTGCGGAGATGCGCAAAGACTTGGCCGCCTTGCAGGGCGTCGCTGGGGCCGTTGAGATGGTAGGTCAGGCCATGGGGATGGGTCGCGTCGCGGCGGTTCTCCGAGAGCGCGAGGAGGTAGTTGGAGGTGACGCCGTGGACCAGCTCCTCCGGGTTCTCGGGCACGGGGGTGGTGGACACGATGGCCGTGATGGATGGCTTGCGAGGGGCAAGCACACTGCTGGAGGAGATGGAGTAGTATCGGGGTTGGATGGGAGCGAGGGTCTCGACGAGGTAGGAGAGGGGCAGCGCGGACCACGGGGTGTCCGGGGCCGCCAACTGCAGCAGTCGGCCCAGGTTGACGTGCGTGCGGTTGATAAAGTTGGCATAGGTAGCCTTGTCCTGTCCGAGTTGAAGCAGGTAGGTCTTTGCCTCGGGGGTGGGTGCAAACTGCGCCAACCCTAGCACATGGTCCCGGTTGACCGGGGCGCAGACCTCCAGGTAGTAGCGGAGCAGCGCCGCCGCAGTCGTTGGGGTCGGGACGCGCACTTTGGTGGCCGCATCCAGGGATTTGATCGAGATGGGGATGTCTCGGCGTGCCGCGAGGCCCAGGACCTGCAGCAGACGCTCCACCTCCGCGTCGGGATTGCTCGGCCAGATGGCCAAGTGGTCTCCCGTCTTGTACGTGAACTCGGGCACGCTGGACAGATCGAGGTCCATGTGCAGGCAGTGCCGGTCCGATGCCTCAAAGAGCTCCCGGGCACTGGCAATGGTCACCGGCCGCACGGGGGAGCACTGCGCCGACGCCTTGGTGGTCTCGCGGACATCGGGTTCGCCGTGATGCAGATCAATGGGTTCCAAGGACTCGTCTTCCTCGACGGCCATGGTCGGCAGGTACTGGACCTCGCCTTCCGCGAAGCCCAGATGGTCCTTGCACATGGTGAACAGATCGTCCTTCCAGCTGATGAAATCCTCCTGCGTAGCGCCCTCGGCGTCGTTGGCCCTGCCCACGGGAAGGAGGGACTGGGCCCCGCGACGATCGAGGGCCTGGGCGACGACATCCACGACCCGGTTGTAGAACTTGTAGTTGCTATTGCCCAGGCCAAAGGCACAGTATCGCACGTTGGCCAGCGAGACGTCCTGGGCCTTGTTGATCCAGTCCCAGAATTCCGCCGTGTTATCGCTGGGGTCTCCCTCGCCATACGTGGACAGAATGAAGATCGCCAGCTTCGACGGGGGGATCTGGGCAATGGTCTCCGGGTCATAATCGGACAGATCGGCCGTCATGGTGCCCTGGCGGAACCGGAGGGCGATCTCACGCGCCAACCGGTGGGCGAAGCCCTCGGCGGTGCCCGACTGCGAGCCCCAGAAGACGACGACGTTCTTCTCGGCTTCTTCCAGCTTCTGGGCGATGTTCCGGGTCTCCTGACGGGCGTTGGCGCCCGCTGCACCGCCCATCTTCAGCTGGGGACGCTCATACCAGAGATAGTTGTAGGGGTCGGGCTGGTCCCAGAGGATGCCGCGCGACAGGTAGGTGGCGCTGACCATGGAGAGGAGGGTCAGGGCGATATAGTCGGCGACGCCCGTGGGCGTCATGACCTTGGACAGGTCCTGCAACAAGTCTGGCGACAGCGGCCATGATGCAAAGGGGGAGGGCATGATGGAGGCGATGGAAGAAGGCCGGGTGGACCTGGATGGGGGGGGGTCCATTCATGGGGCCGCCCAGGGATCTTTAAATGCGAGGGCATGAGGGCATGAGGGCATGAGGCACGATGCCTGATGCCATGATGCCATGATGCCATGGCGGACGGCAGACATGGTCGGAAGCTCACGTCCCAGGTCGGGGACTGAGAGAGAGAGAGAGGGAGAGGAAATCAGAAAGGAAATGTTCCCCGCGCGGCAAGTTGCCCCGGGAGGCTCAGGCTACCCTCGGGCGGTCTTCCCCGCATCGGCAATTCCCTCCCTGCTTCGTGCTCCCCGCATTCCTCCACTACAATTCCCTCTTCCCCTCTTCCCCTCTTCCCCATCTGGCCTCCGTGACGGGGTCGGCACAGGCTAGTGTGTTCCCCCCGGAGCAGAGAGTCCGACGATCCAGATCGCCAGAGATCCAGCCTCGAGCGGATGCAGAGAGACGACTACTTCTGACGAGAGGGATGGACAGGTCTACACACGGCACGGTCCACTACGCACATGGAACTCAAGACAGTCAGGATTGGCATAAAGGGATCATGAATTATCACTAAAGTCTATTCCCCCAAGGGAGGAAACCAGATACAAAGAAGCCAAGACGAACGAACCCCCTCAGTCGGCCGCCTCCACCGTCCGCCGCCACACCTGCACCGGCATCGCCCCCAGGATCAGGTTCATCGTCTCCAGCCGCGGCAGCTCCCACCCCGGGGAGGTCAGCGCAAACTCGTACCGGTGCACCAGCGTCGCCAGGATCTTCGTCTGCTCCAGATACGAGATGTTCCGCCCGATGCACGACCGCGCCCCCGCCGAAAACGCCACAAAGTACGGCTGCAGCGCCTTGCCCGCCTCTCCCAACCACCGTTCGGGGAGGTACTGGTCCGCCTGGGGGAACGCCCGCTCGTCGCGGTGCGCCACAAACGCCGACATACTGACTGTCGTGTGGCCCGGCACCCATTGGCCCAGGATCTCAATCCCCTCGGCCGGTGTCTCGCGCGGCAGCCCGTGCGAGGTCGGCGGGAAGATCCGCAGCGATTCATCCAGGCACGCCCGGAGATACGGCAGGTGCTTCACCTTGTCGTACGGCGCGATCACCTCGTCCGCGTCCAGCACCGCGTCCACCTCCTCCCGGAGCTTGGCCAGGCACCGCGGGTTCCGCAGCAGCTGGTACATCACGTTGGCAATCGCAATCGCCGTCGTCACGCTGCCCGCGTTCATCATGATGTTCACCTCCGCCACCACCTCGCCCCATTCCAGGTTGTTGGCCCGCCCGTTCTTGTCCTCCATCAGCGCCTGGAAGAAGTCGTCCAGCTTCTCCCCGGCTTCGTACCGTCGCAGCCGCTCCATGCTGCGCCGCCACACGATGTTGTCCCAGTTGTCCGACGACTGTTGCATCCGGTTGAAGAACGGGATCACGTTGACCAGCTTGTTCAGCACCGGATACCACTCGTAGTTCCAGAGAATGAGCGACTGCTTCCGGGCCGTGGGATAGAGTGCCTCCCGGAGATGGACCTCATAGGTCGTCCCGTCCTTCCGCTCCGCCACGCACACATCGCTGCCCGAGTCCAGTAACCCGAGCTTCTCGGACAATCCGATGTCGGCAATGGCGTCGAGCGTGAAGAAGTTGGTCCACGCGCGGAAGTCCACCGTCAGATCTTGGGGATCCGGAGCCACCTTCCCGGTTGCCACGGCCTCGGACGGCGCGGCGGTGCACACCTTGTCAAAGTGCGCCACCACCTTCTCAACCTTGTCGCTGACCTTGTGCTCCCACGTCTCCAGGTTCTTGAGCGCATATGCCGACGACAGAACCTTGCGCTTCCGCGCGTGCTCCGGCTTGTCCACCACGTCCGCTAGGTGGTAGTGCGTCCCCGCCGTAACCACGTAGGACGGATCCTTGATGCACTTGGTGTTGTGACCGTAGATGTCCTTGATGGCCCGCACATCCCCGTAGGACAGCGTGTTGGGTCCGGTGCGGATCACGGGCTTTTCCCGATGCAGCTCCATGAGTTCCCTTGACCGGAATCCCCGGGACGCCATGATCATGAAAGGAATAGCAGACATCCCGGAGAACGGCGTGAGGTTGGGGTATTTCCGAAGACCTAGGAAGCCCACGGGTCAGCACACTGCCTCCGCCACTACAGGACTATACTATCTGGAATTTACCTTTGGGGTCGCGGATGTACTGCACAAACGGCCAGACCAGGAAGTAGGAGATTCCCACCAGACCGGCCACAAAGGCATAAGGGGCGATGGTGAAAAGAGACCACATGGCAGCTGTCTCGATAGAGCCGTGCCAGACGGATTCAGTAGACGAATAATCGTAAGTGAGTCCACAATCGTTGAGGTAGGGTATCAATGTCCTGGTCGTCCCGCCAGGCTCTTTGGAATGGTGCAGAGGACAGCTACTTATATCCCCAAGAAGAGGGAGGAGGTCCGGTTCCCTGGAACGAAGATGGGATAGACCAGCCTACCTCGTGAACAGCAGACACCGCCTCCCAAGCCCACCATGTCCATGGATGACATCGTGAGTCTCTGGCTGGTGTAACCGCGGCCATGTCACCCACCAGCGTCTATCAAGTATGACGGCGGGCAAAACTGCCCTTCGTGGCCAGCAAGCAAGGGCGGAGATAATTTCCCCATGCGCCGCCACCAACAGGGCAAAAACCCTCGCTGGCTCACCGGTACGAACCAGATCGATGCAATTCGAGCAGACGAGCTAGACCCGCGCGACAGCCCCTCGTAGTCCTGGCAGAAGCCCCAAGCCCGGCTACTGTCTGAACGGTTCCCCGGCACTTATCGTCAATGCGGGACAAATAGCCCTTCGAACGACGTTCGAGGGCATTCATCTAGACCTGTGGGCCGACCAATGGGGACGCACAGAGATCGGGTTTCAGGCAAGTCCGGGGTAGCCTGGGGACAAACCCGCCTTCACGAGTGGATCCTTGGAATCGTGCCGAACCTTGAAGCAATACCCGAACGCTGCCATCAGGACTTGGCCGACCATGGGAATGAGGGGCATATACCCCCATCCTCGCGGATGACGAGCATGGGGGCGCTTCGGCGATGGACCCCCCTCAGGCATATATGTCCGCTGTCGTCGTAGATAACCCCAGCATTTAGTCGTTAGCCACATCATCCTGGCGTTGGGGTCATTGCACCGGTGTAAACTAGACAACATTCCATCCAGACTGTATCCCTTAGTGAATCGTTTCATCATTTAGACTTTGGTTTTCTAGCCCTGCAGACTACCATGAATCCTGCAGACGACTACTTACCTAAGACGCCGTCTGTTGACGATTTCAAGCCCAACTCATTTCACGATGAGGACCTTGTTGCCGCAGAGGGTCTGGACGATTCGATTGAGACAACGAATCCTGGCACGGCAGTATGGCTCATCGCGTGCACGGTATCCATGGGCGGGTTTCTCTTTGGTAGGCATGGGAGTTCAGCAGCCAATGACTCCGGAAGAACAGCTATCGCGGGAACCTCCCGTTTGTATCGGATGCAAGCTAACGCTCTTTTGCCTCTACTCGTGCAGGATACGACACAGGTGTAATCTCCGCCGTCCTCGTCAGCCTTGGGGCCGACCTCGGCCAGACCCTCTCCTCGAATGACCAGGAACTGATAACTTCTATCACTTCGGGGGGTGCCTTAATCGGCGCCGTCCTGGCGGGTATGACCTCGGACAAGTACGGACGGAAACTGGCCATCTATATCGGCTGTGCGGTCTTCTTTGTGGGAACCATCTTGCAAGCCACGGCATTCTCACTTGCCCAAATGGTGGTTGGCCGCATGGTTGTTGGGTTCGGCGTGGGTGAGGCCGCAATGATTGTTCCTCTCTATATTGGCGAGATGGCACCTGCTCGTTTCCGCGGACGATTGATTGTGTTTGATAACATCTGCGTTACCTTTGGCCAGCTCATTGCGTATGCCCTCGGAGCCGCCTTCACTGACGTGCACCAAGGCTGGCGGTACACCATTGCGATCGGTGCAGTTCCTGCCATCGCGCTGGCAGCCACGATGCCCTTGTGCCCGGAGACGCCTCGGCAGCTAATTGCCCATAGTCGTGATGACGAAGCCAAGAAGGTAATCCGAAAGATCTTCCCGCATGCCACCGACCAGCAGGTGGTTGCAAAGGTCCGAGTGATTCGACATTCGATTGAAGAGAGCACTGCCTCCGTGTCGGACAAGAGCCTCTGGTGGCAGGCCAAACAGCTCTTCACGGTAGGTGCCAACCTGCGGGCCTTGGTCACGGCGTGCTCCGTTATGGCTGGTAAGATCCCTTTCTTTCTTGTCTCTTCCTTGTCGAGTCCAACACACTGACAGCATGTAGTATCCCAACTAGGGGGGTTCAACACGCTCATGTACTATTCCGCCACACTGTTCTCCCTAGTGGGATTCAACCAAGCCACGGCTGTTTCGATCGTTGTTGGAGCAACTAATTTCGTGTTTGGATTCCCCAACTTTGCCTTTATTGACCGCTTTGGGAGACGATCCATGCTTCTGGTCACCGTCCTGGGGATGGTAAGCCGACCTCGTCCAGATCTTGGCCAGCAACTAATACCACACCAGTCTCTCTCTCTAGTCGTCGTTGCGATCGCATTCCATTGGATCCCCGTCAACTCGGACTTGAGCGACACTGGACCGCGCGAGATGACCTGGGCTAGTGTCCTTCTCCTGGTTGCGCTTATCGTCTACATTGCCTTCTACTCTGCCGGCGTGGCTCCAATCTCCTGGGTAGGTACCGAGTTCCTCCCCTTGGAGGTGCGCGCACTTGGCACGATGGTGAACACTGTGACCTGCTGGGGCTGTAACATCATCATCTCTTCGACGTTTCTGTCCATGATGAAGGCCATGACCCCCAGCGGGGCGTTTGGGTTTTATGCGGGCATCTGCTTTCTCGGGTGGATCTTCGTCATTTTCTGCTATGCGGAGGTCCACAACATGCCTCTGGAGTCGGTGCGGGAGATTTACACGCACGGCTTCGGGGTGAAACACGCCAAGCGACTGCAAAAGGAGCTCCAGGAGGCAAGAAGGAACGAGCAAAGTGCCCCGTAGGGCCGAAGCCCGTAACGTCTCCGTGGCATTTCCGGGGTTCCGAGGCTCGGGCCGGTGGTCTGTGTATCCTTGATCTGTGCGCCAGCCAGCCAGCCACCAGACGCTCGGTCCACCCCAGCTCGAAACATAGGTTGTGGTAGTGTAGTAGATCTGGCAGACCAACGATTGTATGTACGATTCATGGCCATGTATCCAGTCGATAGAGAATAGGTCCTGGTCACTGAGGAAAATCGTCCCCCTTGAACGGACCGGTGAATGGATAGTCCGCTGTGAATAGAGGCAGCTTGAAGCGCTTTCCCCATTTGAGATTCTTGCCCCAGTCGTTAGCTCTGAGCCGATATCAACACACCACCAGCCCACCCCATTTCTTGTCCTCCACCCTTCCTTCTTCATTTCTGCTGTCTTCGGGGGTATTTTGCTCTGGCGTTACTGCAAATCTTTCCAGACACCCCACAAGAGCAGGTTCAGGCGCAGAAATTGGTAGCACTCCTAACTGGAGTTGTGGGAGCTGAAGGTTAAAAAAAAAAAAAAGGTACGTCAACAACCCTGCGGGTTGACATAAGTTGTTCACCCATAATTCTTGTAGAGACTTCCTACGCATCGGTCGAAGCCACTGCACACCAACGACAATGGCACTCTCAACATTCAACAAAGAGCTGCAAGTGGCCTGTCTCGCCGTTCAGCGAGCCAGCATTGTCACCAAGACCATGCTGACCGAGGTTGACAAGGGATCTACCGAGAAGGCGGACGCATCTCCAGTGACTATAGCCGATTTCGCATCACAGGCGATCCTCATCAGTGCGATCCGCCACAACTTCCCTGCCGACAAATTTGTCGCGGAGGAATCGGCATCGGCCTTGCGGAGTGACCCCGTCCTAGCCGACCGGGTATGGCAGCTGGTATCCACGACCAAATTACATGATACGGAGAGTGAAGAGGTCGTCGTGGCCCCCTCGTCGCTAGAAGAGATGTTGAGCGTCATCGACATAGGCGGCGAGGGCGAAGGGTCCGGCCATGCACGCACGTGGTTCTTGGACCCCATTGATGGGACAGCAGCGTTCATTCGTGGGCGTCAGTACGCAGTGTCTGTGGCCCTGGTCGAGAATGGCGAGCAAAAGGTCGGCGTCGTCGGATACCCCAATCTGCACTTCCAAAGCTCCGTAGTCCACGAAGACATTGTTGATCAGGAAAGCTTCGGCCTCATGTTGTCAGCTGTCAAGGGGCTAGGTGCGTACAAGCGTTCGATGAGCAAGGAGCGTCTGCAGGCGCCCGTGAAGGTGTGCAACGTCCTGACGCGGACTGATGCCGGCCAGCCGGACCTGGTGTTTGCCGAGAGCATGGAAAGCCCCTACATCAACCAGCGGCTACACCACGTCGTCCGCGAAAGACTGGGCGTCACCAATCCAATCACCGACTTGTGGTCCATGCAGGCCAAGTATGCGGCCCTCGTGGTCGGCGGGTGCAACGTGATGGTCCGCATCCCCCGAAGTCCTGAATATCGCGCCTATGCCTGGGACCACGCGGGAGGGATGTTGATCTATGAGGAATCAGGGGGCAGGATCACGGACCTGAACGGTCGGCCCTTCAACTATGGACGAGGCAGGCAACTGGCAGATAACATGGGCCTGGTGGCCACATTCCCGGAGATTCACTCGCGGGTGCTGGAACTTGTGCGGGAAGTCAGTGGGGGTGGGAGAGGACTCGCAGGGGAAGGGATGTGGGAAGACCGTTGAGTGACGAAGAAAGAGGGGAAAGAAGAGGAAGGGAAGAGGGAGGAAGAGGGAGGGAAGAGGGAGGAAGAGGGAGGGAAGAGGGAGGGGGAGGAGAGAGGGAGGAGAGAGGGAAGAGGGAGTAAGAGGGGGCAGAGAGGCCAAGCGCAGACCAGAGGCAGGCACTTGAACCGCCGAGCCTACTACTAATCAACCCATTCATTCCCTCGGCCACTACGGAGGACAGGGAGATCGATGGCGGCACCTACGAACATACACCACGCTTTGATGTCTTGAATAGCCCATGGAATTTTTGATGCCCATACAGTCAAAACAGAAACACAAAATCCAGGCCCGACGGGCCCGGGATGCAGGAATGGAGAAAAAACCACAACAATATAGAGTGTTCTCATCAAGGAAATTCGTGACTTCATGGTCGTTAAATATAACCGGTCGGAAACAATCGCACACATACCACAAGATGACCAAAAGCACCGTAACGCTGACCATCCCTCGCTTGATCCGTAGAGAAAGTGAGAAAAGCGAAGCGCGCAGTCCCAACGCTGCCCCATCCATGAACACAAGCCAGATAACACACTCCTTGCCCGCAAGTCCACCATGGCCGGGGCACCCGCGACAAGGGGAAGCAACAGAAGATAAGAACGATCGAAAGATTGGCCCGTGGGCTGGACCATGCATGCATGCACCCACCTCCCATACACCACAGTGCCGGTGACCAGGCACTGTTCAACCTCGTCCATCGGCAACCCAGGCACCCAACGCGAAAGGCAAAGACACAAGAACGCACGCTGCTTGTCAAATGCAATGGCCGAGGCGCTCGAGTAGAGGCGGAGACCTTCCCACCAGTCCCATCCCGTCTCGCATACCCGGCCGTGCTCAATGTGTAGTCTATTATAAAAAAGAAAAACAAAAGCCAGTAACGTGAAAGGCTCACAATGCACACCAAGAAAGAGAAGTAATACCCCATGACACAACCAGTTTTGTCTTTCCCTGGGATGTCCGGTTTTGGTCGGCAGCGTCCGTTCTGGGTGGGCAACAACAGCCCTTCACAGAATGGTTTACCGACGCCGAGCCATGACGCCGCCAGCTTTCATGGGCTGCAGTCCAAGAGGCACACCACCCACTGGACCACCGACGGAGGATTCGCTCAACGTCTTGCGACGCTTGCTATCATATTCCGTACCCCGGCTGTCGGGTCGAGGGATCCGATCCACGTCATCGTCGTCCCGCATTCGCTTAGTCGAGCCTAGGGAGCCGTTCATCCCGGTTGCGTATCCAGAAGCAGAGTTGGAAGCGACAGAATAATTGTCAGAGGCTGTGCCGTTGCCCGAGGTCCCCCGGGTGTCGCTCACGATGTTATACAAGCTACCCGCAGCTGCGGGACGCGGGGGCGTATTATACCCCGGAGCCCAGGGGGGAGGTCCGCCGCTCGTACGGGGCGTCATACGTCCAGATCCATTCTGCTGAGTGGGAGAGCCCGTGATCTCAGGCGTAAGCTGGGAGTGATCACCGGTCAGACTACCCACCGATGTGTTGGTGGTGTACGTGTATGAGCCTCGGTTGGTGTTGTACCCAGAATTATCGTGCTGCACATACTCCGGCTCGTGTTCTGGGACAGACTCGGCACCATTGCTGCCAACATGTCCGTTAGTGTGGGCATAGCGTTCCTGCTTCACCTCAGGTGCCTCCGCTTCAGGCTGGCCGCCAGGCGTCCGGCTCGAAGGGGGTCCCATTTCGCTCTTGATGTAAGGATGAGATGGGATCGCCTGCCCATATGAAGCCATACCCGCCTGAGTCAACGGTTGCTGGGTAGCATAATGAGGGTGGGATGGTGGAGCAGCTGAATAGTACGGTTTCGATTCATACCCGGCCTGGCCTTGGAACGACTGCAGTCCCTGCAAATTGCTACCCGGGGGTGTAGTGGCGGGTGTCGTCGGCATTGACCGGGCATTGCTGAGAGCCGTATCAATGGAGAGCGGCTGGGAGTTTGGGACTCCAGAGTTCATCCCCTGATTGTTCCAATCATAGGAGTTGCTGGAATTGGTAATGGGGATGAGGCTCGAGGCACTGGCCGGGGGCGTGGGAAACGTGTGTGCTCGATCAAGCGCTGGTCGAGCACCGGCCTGAGAAGCCATGGTGTGGGGTTGGGGCATGTGAGAGGGGACCGTACTTTGCAACGAGTGATGGTGGTGCAAAGCCGGGGGCTGGGGCCCCTGAGATGCTCGTGCAGCTTGGGGGCCTTCCAATCGCCGTTGTTGCGACTCCTGCACTACCATATTCGTCCGACTCTGGTTCGTGGGGTGGTACAGCAGGCCACCGATGTTGTGAACAAAAAGAGGATACAGTAGGTCTGTGATCTTCTCCTTGTTGGCAAATTCAAGGGCACGCTCAAAGGGGATCCTAAATCAACTATTAGCGCGGAGTCATAGACGTACGCAACCAGACAAGTCGTACCACACGCCCTTCAAATGCATCGGACCAATCTTGACAACATGACGGATCTTCTCGCTCTTCAGGATGCCATCCCGGCGACCTCTGGTCATTCCCGCGACATTGAGAAGCTTTGTGCCGTTGATCATATGATTATCTGAAATTGCACGTCAGCAACACTCATTCCTTTCACATCTTCATGCTACCTCTCCAAACCAGGGCAGTAGGAATATCACTCACCCTCTCTGCGTGCCACACAAACCCCTTTGGCTTCCACCTGGTAGCAGAGGCTGCCTTCATCCTCCCACAAGGTGGCAGTAACGCGTGGCTTTGCTCCTGGTGGGGCTATCTGGCCAGTCATGTCGTAAACATATCCTTGCAAAGGGGTGCCGGTCGTGTTTCCGTAGCCCGGAGGGGCTGCAGCGTGATTCGTCACGGCTATGGTTATGGAATCAGAATCGGGAAATAGAAGATTTCTCATCATAACCTAGGGTAGGCCTACCTGGTAGGGGTAACAGCTGGGCTGGAACGCCGCCGCTCATTGACGTCGTTGGAGGTTGTGGGCCTCCCTGAGAGGATGTCACTCCGCCAGGATAGGCATATTGAGAGTAAGAGCTTGCCGGTCCATATGTGGTTGACGCTGGCTGCAGGACCGGTGGCTGCTGGTGGTATTGGGGGTAATGAGCGATTCCTCCGGCTGTGGCGGCATGGGATGCGTACGGCTGGGCGGATGATAGATGCGATGAGTGGACATCGATGTAGGGCTGAGTTTGGTTCATGCTGCCAATCGGTGTCTGGCTCTGATAGTAGCCGTCGCTAACCGGGTTTTGTTGAAGAGTATACTCTTGAGGAGCAGACGAATCCAAGGAAAGCCGGCCCTGACTACCTGCCGCGAGGTCTGCAGACGACGGCGGTGGGCTTCTAGCTTCGTTAACCACAGGTGCAGCTCCCGATAAGCTCGTGCGAGCGCTCGTGTTGTTGGAACCAAGGGCCGACGCGTCTTCGTAGCTAGTCCGATAGGACTGGCCCGAGATGGCCTGCGTGGCCGTCGGGAGACTGAGAGCCGGGAGTTTGTCGCCAGACAACAGGGGTCGCTCTGCCGCGTGGTGGTTATACCAAGGGATATCAACAGGACCTCGGGTGTGGACCTGCGAGATCGACGGTAGCTCCAGCTTTTCGGTTGGCGGGGGTAACGGCTTTGAAAAGTGAGGGGAACGGGAGCGGTTGGACGACGGACTCAAGAATGTGTCCGGCGTGCCGTGAGATGAAAGGAACCGTTTCTTGTTTTTTTGTCTTTTGTCAATGGGTGGTGGTCAGGTCGCTGAAACACGATCTGATGTAAACATGCAAATAACAAGGCGCTATTTTTTTTCGGACTGGTTTTGTGTGGTCTGTCGTAAATATGGCAAGACTGATGCGAATTCGGACTCGGCAAGACCAAGAGTCGAACAAAGGAGAAGCTTCTAATAGGCAATGCAGAACATGCAAGGATGTGCAATCGTGGCAAGCTCGTGGAAATTCGTAACCGTAACACGCTTGGAGATCGCTGGCGCAACTGGACAAGAAAATCGCTATGCAGTAAGTACTGACAGAAATCTAAATCCAGATACTTTCAAGGGTCCGAGTCGTCACGGGCAAAACCATGAAAGCAGGACAGCAGCGCTTTGCGGGTGGTTAATGGAAATCGCTCAGCCAAATTAGAAGCACAGAATCATGGGTCTCGTTTCAAGTCGTAAGAACAGAGCGGGGGAAGGCGACGTGACAATCCAGCATCAAACGTCGAAGGTCTTCCGTGACTTGCAACAAAACGGTAGTGGCACCGATGAGACGCGTCAAGCGGACAATCAAGGGGTGCTTCTGCGACGAGATGGGCGAACAGGCTCGTATGGCGTCGTAACAGGTCGTGGCAGGTCGTTCGAGAAAGGCGAGGAGTGAGGCAATATAAGCACTGACAGTTCTAGGAATGGGTCAATAACCTCATGCGAGCAACCTGGGGAAGACACAGGCAAAGCAAAAGAAGAAGTTAAGCAAGCAGGTCGTTCAGGTCGTCCACATAATCTCGTATAGGGCAAACATAAAAAAAGAAAAGGACAAGAGACGAAGTCGTGATTGATGGTGATGGAGGGGGAAACAGTGGAGGGAAGCAGAGGCGGAGGTGTATGTATAAGAAGGCGTCAAACGGAAGGGATGGTACACCAACGGAGGCGGCCAAGGGAGACCGGTGGGAACCAGGAAAAAATAGTAATCCGGACCAAGGAAGTCGGTCGATGGAAATTACCGGGGTTAGGGTGGGATTTGGGGGGGGGGGAGGGAAGAGGAAAGGGCAGTAAATTAGAAAAGAAAAGAGGTGAGCAAAAAAGGCAAAACGGGCAGAAAAGGGAAAAAGGGAATAAAAGAAAATCAAAAGAGGAAAAGCAGAGGGGGGGGATGGCCAAATGTCAGACACTCTCGACGTGGGCGATCATGACCGAGCAGATGGTCCAAGGCGGTGGAGAGCAGACGGGAATGACTGCAGTGCCGCCGCCGCAGCAGGAGCAGCAGCAGATCATGGGCGAAAGGTGGAGGCTGGGGCAGGACAGCAAACCGCAGGCGCCCCCGGGCTAAGCCTGAGGTTCTCTGCAGCCGCCGGGGTTTCTGGACCGCGACCGATCGCCTTGGAACCCGTCTACTCGGTGGGCGGGGAGAGAAGGGGAGGGGGGCAAGGAACAAGAGAACAGCAAAGGAAAAAATGGCCAAGGTTGGGGAAGGATAAAACTCATGACCAAATTAAGAAACGGAGAATGTACCAACTTGTAGATCCAACGTGGTGTGGTGGTGGTGTTGTTCAGCCTGCTGTTCCTCCTAAGATGATAGGTGTGGCCGAGCTGAAAGGGCGGGGAGGGGAAGTAGTTAGAGACAGCTCTCACCCATGGATGGCGAATGGGTGAATAAGGAAATAGGATGAGCCGAGGAGGGAGAAACAAGTTGGGTTCGGGGAGGAGAGGGGGGGAAGATGGGTAAACTGTCAGAGCACCCAGTACGGTACACGCAGTATAGTAGTAGATAGATAGCAAGGCAGGTAGATAGGTCGAGAGGGAAAGGCAGGGAAGCCAAGGGAAGGGCAAGACTGAAGGGGGGGCCAGCCGCTCAGCTTCCGCGTTTTAGTGGGAGGCTGGTGGGTTTGGTTGGGTTTGGGTTGGCGCTGGACCGGCCAGCAGAGTCAAGCCAGCAGCCTGAGGATCTCCGGGTAACGGGTGCAACCGAATCCCGCGATGGACGGCCGAAGCACCAGCCAGCGATCGATTCGGCTGTCAAGGTGGGAGGGAAGAAAGGGGGGCGGTGGGTGCTGGGCAAAAGAAGGACTTTCTAGAAAGGGAGGAGGTTTCTTCTCAGACTTCGAGCCACGACACGTCTGAATCTGCTCTGTCGCAGGTGGAGAAAGACAATCCAGAGCATCTGCAGTAGTCCAGCATCCTCATCGATCCAAGGGAGCGGCAACGGCCATTGGGGGTTGGTCCTCGGGCGGCTGGGCGCGCACCGCAGCAAGGACAACAGCAGCACCAGCACCACTACCAGCACCAGAACGCTTGCGACAGAGAATAATGGGAGACAGAAAAAAAAAGAATAAAAAGAAAAGGGAAGAAGAAGAACGAGACCAGGTAAGACAACAGGAAACACACCCACGAAGAGAACGCGCGTGTCAGATGGGAAGGTAAACGAAAATACACCACATACCAGCACGTGTGTTTGGATCTTTTCTCGATCACCAGTTTCTTTTGAGACCTGCGGCGCGGGAATGTAAGAGAAGCTGCAAGGCAATTGTCTGCCGTAGAATGTCTCTGATGCTTATAGCTTGTCGCGCGCTCGTCGGCTGTCCTTTGCGTTTGGCCCTTTTTCTATTATATGTATTAATCTAGGCGTCAGCCCCGGCCGGGTCCGTCAGGTCGCGGGCCCGTTTGGAGTCGATTCTGAAGAACGAGGCAAAGGAACTTGGAGAGGGACCGAGCAGTGGATCTCTGGGACCGTCTGTCACTATAACTATGTACTAAGTAGTCGTCCTGGGTCCTTTTTGGTTTAATAAAACGGGGAGGGGAAAAAAGAAAAGAATAGAAAAGAAAAACGAAAGTGGACAAAAAATAAAAGGTGTCAGCAGCAACCCCCAACAGCTAAGAGGGGGAAGGGATTAACAACGAAATTATAAAAAAAGGAAACCATTAAAACAAAAAATGCAGGACGGAAATGATAAAAAGGCACGAAAATAAAGGAAGGAATAAATAAAATGAATAAAAATAAAAGCACGGCGAAATTCAAATGGGAAATGGGAAAAATGAGCAGAAAGGGAAATAGTCAGATGTGGATCCCGCAACTAAAAAAGAGCAACAGAAGAAGGGGAGTGGGATTTTCTGGGAGAAAACAACAACCGTGCGTCTTGCGGAAGAGCGGAGAGACTGCGCTGCACCGTGGGATCTGGTGCCGGTGCCGGTGCTGGTGCTCCTCCTGCTCCTGCTAGGCTGCTGCCGGTGCTGCTGCTTGCTTTCTGGCTCTTCCTTCTGGCAGGGTCCAGTCCACAAGCGCAGTGTCAAGCTCAGACAGTGAGGATTCCGCAAATCCGCCACGAAGCAAGGACCATCGGCCGGATAAGCTAAACAAGACGCCGGACAGGAACCACCGTTTGGGCTAGGACGGCGATGATCCAACCGACGCGGTGTCTGCACACTGGCCGCAGATTGGCTCCAGGAGAAGGGGTGGGAGGGAAAGAGGGGGAGCAGAGGGTTGGCAGTACTGTTAAGTGGGCAAAGACGACGTGTAGGAAAATACCATCAGGCATGCGTAGGAGATGTCAGAGGGGAAATAAGAAATCAATGATCACGTACCCGTGGGAATAATAATGTTGATGATGATGGTGGTGGTAACAATGCGATCGATGGCTAAGACTGGGTCGAAAGATTAAAGAAACAAAGAGACACCCGAGTTCTGGACGGACAGATGGGTGATGGTACAGAAGGCCAAAAGACGTCTTGTTCTGCAGGGTCGAGCAACCATTAAAAAACAATTCAACGCGGGCAAGGCCAGAGCAGATCAAAACAGAGGCGCCTACTGACCAACTCGGGAGACCGATCTGATTAGGGAAAACTCATCTGAAATAAGATGAGCTCATTCAACGCCTACTCACTAATCTGGCTCCTGATTACCACTACAGAAAAATGATTAAATTTTAAATCAAATAGAATATCCATGATAGTAATAGAAATCACACAAGGGAGGAAGAAGAGGGCCTAAGAGACTTGGGGAAGCAGACAAATTAAAAATAAAAATAAAAAGAAAGCGGGCAAAGACCCGAAAAATTAATGGAGAGAGAATGAAAAAGGAATTCGAAAAATAAAAAGAGCGGGCGAGAGAGAGGGAGAAATTGATGAAAAAGGAATAACCTGGTGAGTCCTTCACTTCCAATTGAGCGCGATAGTCGGGAGCCACTGTGAACTGTTGGGACCGATCGCGTTGCTGTAAGTCATTCGATCGTCCTGCGCTGCCGGGATGATGCTGGATCGATTGGAGGGCGATCGAAAGCGACGTAAACTGAGGGAAAAATGGAATTATTCTCCCTTTAATTCTGGGACTCCGTGCTCGGAGCTGATTTGGTCGGTCTGAGATTTAGCACAGCTTCGGTGCAGACTGGCTTTTCTTTTTCTTTTGTTCTCCCCAAAGTCTATCTCGATTTCAAAACGTGATCGGAGGATCAACCGTCCTACAGACTGAGTACTAAGTAAGTGATGTTCCCAGGACACCACCGGCCGCCTAGGCAGCCTGAGCAGCAGCCGTAGTGCTTAGATCGGGCTGTGAAGAACCACGGAAGCAGCGCAACGACCAGATGACGGATGACAGGCGTGTTCCAGTCCAGTTCCAGGTTCGAACAGCTGTCTCCACGATGGAGCACGGGTCCCACACCGCGTCCCAAGGGCCAGCCGTATCTCTCGCCCACGGAGCGGCGAACCAATGGGCGGGACCCAATGGACCAGAACCAGTGCCCTGACCCTACGTCTAGTACGATTATCTAAAAGGGAGGACTGTGTGTAGCTAGTAGGTACTGTAGTCCGATGAAGTGGGTTGAACGATAACCATGCTTGCCGACCGGCCAGCCTACATGCTGTAAGGTATCCTTATTCCGGTGTTTAAAGTTAATTGATCTTATTTAATTATTTGATTACACATACGAGTCAGTATAGCAGAGCGTAAGTAGAGTGCTGACGGCAAGTAAATCAGGACGAGCTCGATGCATGAAAGGCACCTGCTCCGTAGTACCTGTAGCTAGTACTCACTCCATTCACAATGGGGACTTGGGATCCGCCACCGGCAGCAGAAGCCTCTGAATGGTCAAGAACGATGGGCGAACCAATCAAAAGAAAGATTGCGGGCAAGGGCCGAAGGCTGAGATCTGACCTAATACGGAGGAGGTACATACTTACATACAGTAGTCGTAGTCGGTACCTAGGCAGGTCATACGAAGCCAACCATCGCAGCACCCATAGAGCAAATGCAAGATGCGTGCATTTTAAACGGGGTGGATCGTGGATGGATGTATAATAACGGGAAGCGCTCAACACGGACCAGAAAACTATCTGGAAAGAAACCTTGCGATCCAACATTATCAACTATCAGAATGCCTCCCAACCTCGAAACGAGAGAACCGCCGAAAAGGACCGCCCTACGAATGGCGGTGACTTGGCAAGGAGAGGGGAAGAGCGAGAGATAGGATGTAGCAGCAACTAGCAAAAGAGGCGAGAAATGAGATCGGACCCGATGGAAGTGAGGGAAGAGCGTGACTGGTCGAGGGTTCTGACAAGGGATGCAATATTACCCAACCCCGATCAATGCCCCTCGAGCGAACTACTAGTACTACGACTACTACTATGTAACATACTACAGCGTGCTACTATTTTCATCTAGTTAATCTCGCACCCTAATCTTGCCTCCTCCATTCACGATCACTCATTTTACTTCCGAGGAATGCCGTAAGAGCATTACCTAAACCTGGGCGACCCCGTCACGATGGAAGAATATTGAGATTTTCGGTCGCGATCCACCGACTAGCCAATTCTCCCCCAGCGCTGTCAGTCTGGACGAGCCCGTCAATACGAGATCTTTGCGAGGGGGGCCTCCGCGGCCACACTAGCAGACGCCAGCCAGGAATAGCCTCGCGACCAAGTGGAGCCTCCTTCAGGTGACGACGGCTCAATTGGCCGGGGACTTGGGCTTTGGGGCTGGTGGTGTGTGCGATAAATAATTTAAGGCTTTCGGGACGATCTGGAGGACGTTAGGGTGCGGGCCCCGCCCAGCGTCACCAGAGGCCAGAGGCCAGAGACCAGAGACCAGCGAGCGACCAGAGGGGCTGACAAGTCACCAGAATCGGACGAGTCTGGTGTGACTGGTCATGGCGGAAGGAAGGGTGAGAAAATTCAAGGTGTTAGTACTACCAGTATTGTCAAGGGGTTCCGTATATCAAGTAAATAACCAGTAAATAAATGGCCCAGGAAGGAAGGGGGGGGGGGGGGGGTCGTACTTACTGTATCCGTACTCCCGTATTGAACCTGGCATGGTTTGAATCGGCTGCCCGTCACGCTTCTTCTTCTTCTTCTTCTTCGTCTTCTTCCTCCTTCTTAGTTCTTTCCCCAGCCAAGACTCAAGAAGTTAATCGCACCAAATTGCTTCCAAACAAGTAAAGTCCATGCAAGCAAGCGCAGCCCACTCCCTGTGTTACACAGAGCAGAAGAAGAAACGACCAGGATGAGGCAGCATGGCAGGGATCCCTGCAGATGGCCGTCCGAACCACTGGATGAGAGGGCACCACGCAGGCAGGGTGGCGTGCGAGCAACAGTCGATCAAGTCTGTTCGTCCTTTCCCCTCCCCCGTCGTCCTTTCGGTCGGTAGGGGAGCCCTGGAGAAGTCATCCTGGTTGCTAACTGACTAGCTCCAGGCTGCCAGTCTGTCACTTGTCTTCAGATTCCCGACCGGTTACGTCCAGAATACTCTAAACCCGGTCCTGCCTACCTGCCTGCATACACTCCTACATCGTACTTACATACAGACATCCTTCCAGTAAGTAGGTACGGACGGACCTACATGGATACCTGGGACGGAGCAGCCCGCCCCCTCATCGCCAGATTAGTTGCGTTTACTCCTTTCGGTCGAGCCTGACCGATTCATTTGTATCGCCTGGCCATAGGGAACCGTCTTCCTGTCTGTTCATCGCCAATGAGCCCCCCAACCATTCCAATAAAGGGGGACGAAATGGAAGGGGACGGGGTAAAAAATAAAAAAAAGAAAAAAAAAGAAAAGAGGAGAGAAGAGTGAAAGAAAGAAACCAGCGACTAGGGGTAGTCCGGTCGGAATAGAAATCTGTCCTCCTCTTCGTCCTCCTCATCCTCCCGTCGATAGCAGGTGGCGGAAAGGCGCTCGTCTCACCAGATGAGGCGGCTCGTTGGATACATCAGACCAGCCGAGTCGGTCAAGAGCCCAACCCCGGGTAATCGACCACGACCCTGGCCACTCTTCCCCCGACCTCATTCCTCCTAACTAATTCTCCGCTGAGGATGGATGGAGGTAGCCCCGCCATTGCATGGACCGGGTTGCCATTGGTGGGATGCTGGAGTTTCACAAGCCAGTTTAGCCCGGGCTAGGACTAGCAGTGGATTGGCACCGAGAGCTGCCAGGTAATGGGCTCGTCGTCAATGTGAGGGATCTGGAGTTAATTTCCAGATTCGTCCCGATTTATCCTCCCAGGCCCGGCGGGTTTGCGCCTAATCTACGTCAGGGTCGACCGGTGATGCCCATGGTGTCAGTCCATGGAGGGAACTCGGTATGTATCTTAGATCATCACGACCCAGTCATACCACCGGACGGATGTGAGCTTCGTTTTGAGCTATCTCAAAATTCGAAACCGAGCTCCGATGGGGTCACGATGGAGTTTCTACTCAGGTACTAGATGGAGTATTCTGATCCATCGTCGCCCAGAGAGTGGGCTCTCCGCACGATGACTACGGGTACCCTGATGTATATCATCTACCTAGCTCGGTGGATGGAGACGGTGAGGCATGGGCCAGTTCCCGGTCCTCATCATCTGAGTTGTTCTTGGTATCCGTTTTTTTAGTTTTTTTTTACCTCGACTCTCGCGTTTGCCCCATCGTTTCAAGCTGGAATCGAGAACGATCCGGTGTAAGTCGTGGAACAGGATCTCGGGCGCAAGGGCACGAACTCTGAGCAGCCAGAATGCCACACCTCCAGGCCTCACCGCTGGTTCATCGTTTCTTTTCCAGCGAGAGGAGAGGGCAGGAGGGAGGGGGAAGGGCGACTGTCATTTGACTGACAAGCCCTATCATTCCAGCTGTTCATGCTCGGCTGACGGAGGGGCGCGCAGACGATAGGCCCGGGAACCTTCTTCCTGCGGGACTGCAGCACCTCCCTCGCGACCCCTTGCGTGAAGTGGAGGGGACTAGCGATCTGGTCCACGACACATTGTCCCACTCTGGGAGGCCCAAACCCCACCCGGGCCTGGTCCGGACTGGACCATGGAATACTCAACAGTATCAGGCGTACGGGAAAGCCTCCCATTGTTCGGACAAGGCCTTGTTTGGCCGCGCTGCTAGTGATGCTAGTGAGTGCTACGGTGAGAGCTAGAAAAGTGACAGGTTGGGGGTCCCGGACGGAGTAGGACGGACGGACGGGCTGACGGAGTGCGACGCCCACGACCACGGCCACGACCACAACTCACTAGTCCGGACCTAGTGGTGGTTAGTCGGCCTTGACGGGCATGGGCTTCATTTCATTTGACAAGTCGCTTTTTATTTCCGACCGTTAAGCGCGTCTAGCCATACGCTGACCTATCCCGCCCTCCATCCAGCCATGGCCGTCTGGCTGGTCCGCATCCTGGATTGGACCGTCCATCCGGAGGGGAGGACCTGGTCAACTAAGGTAGGCGCCGTAGGTGTCGGGCAGGGCGGACTGCAGCCCGCAGCCCTGAGCCCTTCTGCTCTCGCCTCTATCTATACGAAGGAGGGTGGCCGGTCTCCTGGTCCACGCCCGTCATGTCCCTGCCACATGTCCAACCGACAGACTCGACGAGCACGACTACTGTAGGTGGATATGCATGTGTATCGGCAGTGAAGGTGAGACCGGATGCACATCCATCTGGCATGGGAGCACCAGGCGGTCCGTGTTGAGGTCGAAACCAGGCTAGCCATCCGGTGTCTGTCAGTGCCTCTGGCTCGTCCTCTCTAGTTCCTAGTGTCCTCTGGCCATGGGCTCCGGGAGTAAATTGAGGAAAGGACATATGTACTCCGGGCTTGTCCCGGGACGCCAATGATCGGCCAGGATGAAGGACTGTCGGAGTTAGTCTGTGTGTAACCCCCCGGGGATTGTTCAGGGCCGTGCAGGCTAAGATGAGGATCTGCCCAGCGTGCTTTCTTTTTCTCGTGCCTTTTGGATTTGGTTTCCCTGTTCTTTTCTTTTTGATCCTCGCTCTGGCCGGAGGATAGGAAAAGAGGGCCGACCGAACCTTTCTCCAGGAGCCCATTCCACCGGGGACCCCCGTGATCCTTACCGTGTTGGATCTCTCTAGGATTCTAGTCAGTCTTGGAAGTCCGCTACCGACGGCCCGACACCCGCAGCCGTCGTACATACAGCAGATCTTGCGGGGCTGTAGCTCATCCTCTGACGGAGTATACCTGGTGGTTGGCCACGACGGAGTTATTCAAGTTCACTGGCATCAGCCAGTGGTGGTGGACCCAATCGGGAGGCGCGACGAGGGCTTCCAGACTTACACCGCAGCCATGGGCGACCAGGCATGGGTATCCTGGACGAACCTGTGCCAGTGGCCTCCGTGTCCGACTCCGTACTTCCGTCCGGTCGATACTAACAGACTAGCCCGAGGAGAATACTCACCAGTCATCACTGGCACTGAAGTTGGCGCCGGAGCCAACCGCGGAGGAGCAGCCATGAGGGGGGGGGCCGCTAAACCCGACTGCGTAAATGCACGGTGATCAATCGATCAGTCTTTGAGTCCGCCTCCTCTGGATTTCCCCTCTCTTAATCTATCGCCCCTCTCGCCGGAGCAGAGTGAGCCTCGGATGAGCCTGTCCCCCATCCTCAGGATGAGGGATGCAGAAAGGATAGGAATTACTCCGGTCGCAACGGGTGGGGCGACTGGTTGGCTGGTTGGCCGGTTGGCTCTGGTAGGTGTACCGCCCACCCCCGTGCGCTCGCTATGTCGTCCATTCCCTGGATAACTTCCTACGGAGTGGGTTGGGGGCAATCAGCCTAATCATCTTCTGCCCCCAACCTGCCTGGGGACGCCGGCCGGACTAGCGACAACTCATCTGTCATGTCCTCGGCTGTACCTGCAGCGGCCATGCAAGCACCAGGGGCGTACGGAGTACACGCTTACAGGTCGCCGCGCCCGCGAACTGCTTCGATTCTTCAACCGCCGCGTACCAGGCAGCGTGCACTGGACTGGGTGCAGCTGCTAGCCGGGCCTGGTGCTTGTCGTCCGGAACGCGGTCGACGACCTGGGCCTTAGCAGGGCGCTAGTTTGCTCGGATAGGGGATTAACAACAGACACTAAGGCCGTCTCCTCAATGATGCCTGCTCACGATGGTTGACTAGTATAGTGTACTAGATCGGTGTCGACTGTCGAGGGCATCGCCTCGCCACCGCCCCCTGATGACCCCTGCTCTTAGTATCCATCTATCTAGCTGCTCACGCGGATGCTGAGTCTCCGGGCGTGGGCAAGAACTAAATTGGTCCTGTTGTGCAACGTTGACCGCGGGAATAACCGGTCGAGGACCAATTCCGAGCTAGTGAGTAGCTTGAGGCCCCGAACAAAGAAACCACCCACGGGCGGTTGGGTTGCGATTCTAGAATACGATTGCAGAGGGCAAATATTTCCGGGATATCGATTTGTTCGTTGTCCGGAATGTGATGGCCCCCAAGCCGCGGGTCTCGTGCAACCGTCAGCACGAGCGATTCTCTACTCCGAAGCCTCCCCCTCGATTGGCTGTGTTTCCCTCGACTGTCCAGCAACGCAACAACCGAGCTCAGCCCGAGTCCATCGCTTCGACCCGGACAGACTCGGGCGGAGTCGATTGGACGCGCGAGGCGGCCGGGGGAAATCAGCTCAATCTCCCTAGAATGCGGCCAGGGCCGCCGGTTGGCCCATTCCTGGGGCGGTCTTGCCTATTGGCCTCAGTAGCGTCGCCGTAAAGAGGACCAGGTTTTTAGAGCATCCCATCTCATGGTAGCGAGAGGGAGACGGCCAGTCCCCAGTGGCCAGTCCGCTGCACGCAGTAATTAACCTTACATTGCATGTTCCGTCGTTACCCGTGCACGATCGACTGCACAGGTGGATAGGGTCCTCGCACTAAGCTTTGGGACGAATCCCTCTCCCCATCAACTCCGGACTCCTATGGGTGCGGATTCCTCCTCCTGTTGCTTACTCCCAAGGCGGACACCGGGCGCTGGCAAAGGGATTGGTGCCTAGAAAGGTCATGAGCTCACCGAGGACTGGGCGAGGGCGCTGACGGCGCTGCAACCTTAATCTCCCGATTGTCTCACTGTCATAATGCGACGGGCCAGTGAAGAATCGGATTGTGGTCATCACTGTCACGTCCGGCCGAGGGCGCGGATTAGGGTCGGGGGGAAGTGGGTTGTAGGGGGAGGCTTCTTGGATGAGGGTTTCGGAGCGCGCTGACCTTGACCTACCGGATCGGGCAAGCCGGACTCCAATTGCTCTCGCCCATCTGGAGTTGGACACACTGACACTGACAGACATGCGAATGGGCAACACAACTGGATGATCAGCGGCCAAGCGACACGGACCTCGTCGCCCGGTTGTCTGAGGCAAAGATTGAGGGGGTGCGCCGGCGGTGATTGGCCAAGCTGCAGGGCCGGTGGCATGGGCTGGGGGCGACTGGCGGTGGAGGCGACCACGTAGGTGGCCCCAGCCATGGAGGGCCGGAGTCGCGATTCATCTTCGATTGTCCGGTTCCAGGTGAGTGAGTTGGCATGCCCGTCCCTATCATCATTATCATGCCATAACGTGACATGGATGGTAGACTGAGAGGCCTGCTGCTGGCGCGTTGCAAAGACGCCCGCCAGACCGCTCAACGCGATCCTTGCGTGAGGATCCCGACGTTGGCTTGGTTTGGTTTCAGCTGCAACAACCCGTGATGCATATGCGCGTGCAGGGTTCGGTCTAGGTGGTACGCGGTGTATCCCTCCATGGGCTGTATCCCGCGGGGCGCCAATGGTTCCTTCATGATTGCATACCGGTGCTGTAGAACGGCTTCCCCCTACCGCAACTATCACGACCTACATACATACGTGCGTCAGTCATCAGTAGATCGCTGCACTCATTCGAGACTCATCCCGTTTCCTAATTATAGCCGGCCGACGTACAGATTTCCCTCCCTCGATAACGGATCCGATTGACCCTGCCGGTCCAGGTGATCATCATGACATAAGATGTTGGGATTCTCGACTATCCCTTGATTCACCCGGGCCACTGGAGCGGGAGTGACTGGCTGTGAACTTTACCCTCCGACACACTCTCCACACAGCATACTTTGATGATACCGACATACCTGCTGCCGCAGCGCGCTCCAGCGACACAAGCAGGGCCTGCATGCAGCGGTGCTGTGCAATGCCTCCTCAGGGTGTGTCTGTCTGTCAGCCAGCCACGCAGCGATGCAGCTCACCGTCTTTTCTGTGGTTATCTTGCGGAATGTTGGTGTTGTGTGACTTGGGTCAAGATCTCGATGCCTGTCGGTGTGTAGACCGTCGATAGGTATGTACCGGGTCCGATGTGAATCTGTAGATGTGAGGCAGTAGGCCAACGGCTGCTATGTGAGGCAACGTGAGGCGAGGTAAGATAACTCAGATCGAAGTGCAATCCATCAATACTTCATGTTGAGGTAGATGTATATATTTGTATAGCGTCAACCTACTACCCATACCACCTACACCATACCACGCCACAATTACCACTCTTAGCCCATTGACAGTAGAGACACTAAGATGAAGCGAATCGACTTCTATTGATCCACAGAATGCCATGAATTGTATTGTACTCCAAGCCATTCACCACGTCGTAAACACACGCGACTCCGTAAAAGCATGCGATAAGATAACCCATCGAATCACCTGACCCAACCATCCCATCGCCCCTCCAACCGAGGTATTCCAGACACAAAACAACAACCACACCCACAATCACCAACTCACCACCGCGACACATTGACCCAATCCCACTCGACAACCATCCTCCCCAACCAGCACAGTAACGAAACGCAGCGTGCCTCCCCCACGAACCCAACCCCGACCCCGACCCCCATCCCAAAACCCAACCCCACCTCCAACCTCCATGCTCCCCCAAAACCACCTCACCTTCGACGTCTGGAATACCTCCTCGACCGGCCACCAGGTTGCGGACTCGGCGCGCGGCACAGCATGGCGGGATACCCGACGGGAGAAACTCACGAGACAGTTTGGGGAGGGGAAGGGGGATTGTACATTTTATGAATCGTCTGGTGGTGGGGATGGGAATGGGAGGGGCGAGTGGGTTGTTGATGCGTCGGGGCCGTATACATCGAGGAGGAAG